CCCTGTTAATGTATAACGTAACGATACCGTCAACTAGGGAGCAGTGAATTATCGACTGAACCAATGACGCATAAACCCTGTACGAGCAGTCTACAGTCCTTATCGATCCTGATTCCCGCCTAACCCTGCCTGTTAAGTCCAGAACATCAATCTCAGCCTCTGTGATATGAATCACGTATTTCAAACATACTGGGTTTATATACCAAGTAAACGGACTACATCTCGTACCATAAAATATGAAACAACATTTGTACAAGATTTAGCCAAATGTGTCTGTGAATAAGGGAGATAGTAATTGATAGACAGGGCATAACTCAAGAATGGTAAATCATATAATAATAGTTCATATTGTCAAAATAAAGCTCATAATAAGAGGGACACGAATATGAATAGTTTAGTAACTTAATGATTATACGAGAAAAATGTACGTATAGTAATAGTCCAAAAATAGATTCCAACAGTTACCATTCATTATGCATATCGGGATGTAACAATACTTTACATTAAATAAATTATCTTTTATATCTACTGGTCCAATCCAATTTGTTATTGTTGTTCTTTACTGTGGATTCATTTATTTTTCACTAATTGTAAATGAGTATAATTAGTCTGTAAAGGGATTGGAAATGACGTTCTATGAACTATACATAGATCAACGGAATGTTCTAGTCGTAGTGTTAGTTGTCGAATGATGATTTACATTGTTATCATATCCTTATGATAAATGTTCGCCCAAAAACAAATTATAAGATTTCCAACTATTTGATTTCATATCTCTGTCTTTTACATGTAACTTTGGTTCATGTATGAACTTGATTTTGAATAAGCATAGGTGGTATATAGCAAAATCTATGTATAAATGAGTGTACTAGGTTAATAAACTGTTGTCATCGTTTCAGAAGGTGAATAAAATTTCCGTCTATCATCCGATTTGTCTTCTTGCCTAGTGCAAATCTCATAAAACTGAGGGCATTCATGGAGCTATGCACGGCCTTGATATTCCAGAAATTTCTGGAACCGTAATAAATATAGCAACTGTATGCGTAAATATCTCATCAGAGCCGTGACATGTGGCTTGTCATTTTCTAAACGTTTATACAAAGCTCCTATTCGAGGCTGATTCTATAAAATGTTTCTTAGCGTTCCTGAGCCTCTAGAAACTTTGACGAGGCAGTTTATGACCCCCCACAAATGATTGATCATTGGGTAGTGACCAATGTCATGTTTGTCTAATTTTTTAGGAATACCGACTGAATTCTAATAATCAAGTTATAATGTGACCACTAGTCAACGTGACTCAGCATCGCGTGAACTATGTTGGAATATTAGGTGGTTGGACGTTATCGGCAGGAAATCGTGATTGATCTAGATTCCGTTCTAGTTAGCACTCGTCAGTAAGGCATACTATAATATTCAGGGGACTGGTATTCCTCGTGAGATTCGAACCCGGACTACCCAGTTTCACACTCAAACATCACCATTATGATCAATCAAATGATAACATCTCAGTCCTACAAGAAATGTTTAAGGGCTCGAATAACTCAGTGGTAACGTCTCAGATTGCGAAATCAGGAGACCTGGGTTCGAATCTTACAAGGAGTAATAATCTCATTATGTATAACTGATGAGTGCAAATTAGCTCAGAAACTAGATCAAACAGGATATCCTGTCAACAATCGCCAACCTGTCCTTAATCTGGGAAAAGGTTCATCGTTTGACTGTTAGCCATCAAAGAGCACATACTGTATAATGACTCTTCGGTGTTAAAGTTTATTTATAACTATTCATATGAAACTGTAACGTTCAATCCATTGATTAGTTTTATTCTGTTCTCTTCACATCTCCAACAGTTACGATGACGTTTTCTTGTATCCATTGAAAAATTGTTTATCTGTAACAGTTCCTATGTACTATATATTCTTGGTTTTCGCCCCAACTGTTTCTATTATTAACAAGGCTAACAGCTTTACACAGCCAATAGTATGTTTTGTAAACATTTCGTGTATAACTATCGTAGGAAATGTTTATTCTTTGATTATACATTGATGCAGTAAACTCCAGAGGTACTTCATGAACTGAAGTTTGTAAATACATGCTTCTTTTCTCATAGACAATAGAAATGTATTTCAAGCAAAACTCGTGCTTGTCATTTCAGTATTATCCATGAGTATCTTAATTGGTTGATTGGAAGCATTAAACAAAAAAGATAACAGATATATTTTTAAAGTAGTGGCATTTTCTAATAAAATGCTGCAATGCGATTCATACTACTTAATAACTACAAGTAACATGAGCATCACACCAAAAAGAAACGAAGTAGAGAAATAAATTTATTGGACATTCATTGAGGTTTTACGTATCTATTTTATTATTAAACTGTGAAAATTAAAATCATGATAGATCGACCCGATAGCTTCTGTTTAAGTTGCACGTAGTTAAATAGTAATCAAAATTACGTGTATCGCATAGTGATTAAAATTATTGTTTTAATTGGAGTACCAAAAAAAAGAGGAAAATTCAGATATTTAACCTTGAAATTAAACAAAAAAATACACACTTTCTAACTGTATTATTACAATCCTTCTAACTCCCACATTCATATTAGAAAAACTTGACACATAATATAACCAAAGGTTAGTAGGTAGAATGTATTTGTAAAGTCTCAGCTAAAGAATTTGAAGTAAATCTAACGTTTCGCTTGGCAATCTGGTCCAAGCTTTTCCTTGAAAAAGCTCTTTAATGTCTCACATTAACTCGGCGACCAAATATTGTGAAACTATTCGTTCAAATTTAGACGAAAGTTCTTATTTATTATTCTATAATCGCATCAAACTAAGGTAAGTAGGTTTATTAAATTTAAATATATACTACTTATCAATAGTTTAAGTTATATTTTATCGTTTCCATGATATACTCACGCCGATTGATCAATGACTAGGAACTAACGTTCAATTATTTATTGATTTTCAATCATTGTATTGATTCAGTTTGTTGCTGTCATTAAGCTTTCCTTACCAGATTCTTAATTGAGAAATGTCGGGAAGTGGAACGTATGTATTCTTGACGAGTTTCAGAACAATCAAACAATTTCTCAATACTTATAGTTTTTTGGTTATAATTTGTGTAGGGAACAATAACTATTACATAATCATTGTTGAACTGATGAATTCAAGATGATATACAAACGGTCAATCATATTTATCCTAAACGAAGAATCTGTATGAAATTTCCCCTTTAAGTCATCATCAACGTTGACCTAGACAAAAATATTTTTACCCAACGACGAGATCTAATTAAAAAGATAAATTTTATATAAGATAATTGTGTAAACAGTGGGTTCATTAGTAATAACTCTGTATGCTTAGGCCACAGTTGAACTCCACTATTCACGGCTTCTTATTAAAATTCCGGAAATTTCCTCTCAATGCTAGTCAGCACATTATAGCTTTCATTATGGGCTTGTGGATCTTGTTCAGTTCGATTACCGTCTGCGTAGATGTACCATACTGAGTTACATACGAGGATGAAACAGCCATCTAGTGCTTCGAAGTTTTCACTCGTTGTTTAACTTAGATCAGTCCACAATTTCAATAAAATGAGTGATGTCCAACACTTAGATAATTTATCACACCATCGACCTTTTGGAATGTCGTAAAATACCGTGAAATCTTAATACCATTCATTAATTAGATTAAATAAAAAATCTTTCACCAAAATAGAAACGGTTAATGAATTTTCCAAGTTTGATCAAAAAATTTCACGAAAGATTATACTAAATCTCAATGCAAATTCAATCCATTTTTGGATACTTTACAAAGGAGTGACACATGTTTATAAACGACTTCATATAAATCTTGTAAGCTTGTGTATAGATGTTAACAGAATAACGATTTCGGGTTGACGATTTAAAGATCATCTGAATTTTAAAAAGCAAAAAGACTGGAAGTGTGTTTATTGTTCAGTGTTTTACTAAGAACACGGCTTACAAAGTATATTATTTTGGACGTATGAGATTATGAAGCGACACTTAACTCGTGATTTAAAAGATGGGAGGTAACTTTGACTTCAAAACTACCATCCGAACATCTTCATCCATGTATTATTATGACTAAGCTGACGTCAAATAACCAATCTATGCCTTCTAACAAAAAGAACATTCCGATTGCCAATAACTTCATGGATTGATATTATGCACGTAGTTGACCACTTATTTCAATTAACCGTTATATCGGATACCAATGTATTTCGAGGTAATTGATGGATAGGTATGTGTACTATATGTGCTAACTGGTAGCCTTCAAAACGAGGTCAATTCATTGATTTATTTAAACACATAAACATTGGTACAGGGAGGCACTAAGTACGTACTGGTCACACAAACCATTAGATTTGTGTGAGGGCTATAATACTGTCCAGGCACCCAAATCGAAGTAAGTTGTATCCTTAGGGGGCCACTCCCCGAACATTTGACCTAAAAATGTAATCCACAAGCCGGTGTAGCAGCTTTAGGAGACGCAATCTCATGGTAGTCAGTGACCAACAATTAGTTCATATGCCATTGATTTCCTCAGGATCCTGGAGCCAATGTGCACCATTGATTTGGAATTAGAGTTTTCCAAATCCCCTTGGTGAGTCCTCTGTACCCACAAGAGGGTCAAAGCGCCGGACATTCGTTTTTCGTTTTCTTAATTTCGTAAACAACACCCCCGCCACGAGAAGGCAGTGAGTAAGACTTCCCTAACAGTGGCTGTATACGCATGGCCATGTGAGAGCATTTCGAAATGGAGAGAGGGCTTTGCACTTTCGGCCATATCAGAACATTTGAGGGCAATACGAAGTATACTTATGTTCTGTAGTTACATAATATCGCAAATTCTGTAATAATCAAAATAAAACAGATCTAATTTTTGAACGAAACTCTGTTTTTTTTATATCCAAAACACTTCATTTTTATTAAAGAAATATATAAATAAATAATTATTCATAACACAATGTCTTAATTAAACCGAAGCATACAAAGTGATTCCGTCCAAATTAATCAATTGATTAGCTGGAACATGTACAAATGGTTTTAAATCATTTATATTATCAGTATTTAATGCAGTGTACAATTGTAAATTGATATTAGTCGACCAACCAAAAGCACATTTCACCTATAAATATAAACAAAATAGAAATGAATAAATGAAAACAAATCATAACATATAGATTACGTAATTGTTATATGGATAAATGTTATAATGGCAGCAGTATCGGAAATCTGATACACAATGTGTTACACATGGCCAACAACTATCTCCAACTGATCAAGAATACGAGAAAAGATATTAGGGCTACCGAACAGAATGAGAAAAAAAAACACATCTATAAGAATTCAATCGATTTTTTTAGTCAAAAGGTATGCACTTTTCCTTCAAGTCATTTTTGATTGCCATCGATTGACTCATTTGGCTATTTTTTTTTTATAAAAAAAGCATACCATTAGTTAAATATGTAAAGAAGATTGTACTCTTCTGTTGTAAGACGAAAATTGATGTATCCGGGTTAAAGTAGGCTATCACTGTTCAATGGGTGCAGACAGACAGGTATGACTGTTACTTTACATAATCTAGATTGTAACATACACACACTATTGTTTGTTTTGTATTTTGTTACAATCTAATCTTGATTCTAGTCATATCTTGTTGAACATCTAGAATGTCAATGTGCTACACAGTTGATTAATACCAAAATGATATATAAAAAATGTGGGTGTACAATATCTAAACAATTCAGCTTATTCTTTTTACTTATAACACATCTACACACCAATTAACTTTAGATTAGAAGACTATTAATATGAAGGTTACTCTGATATTATATGAATTTTACTATTTACGAAGAATGAAGAATATCAAGATCACTGATTACTTCTAGTTTGAAATTTATTTATTTTAACACATAGATATTGGTACAAGGAGGCATCAAATATATATGCGCCACACAAATCTCATTCGATATGTGTGAGGCTGTGATACTGCCCGGGTGCCCAGATCGCAGCAGGTGGTTATCTTAGGGGGCCACACCCCGAGCCTTTGACCTAAGGGTCCAACCCACAAGGCAATGGAGCATCGTGAGGAGATGCAGTCCCATGGTAGCCAGTAACCAAGAAATTGGTTCATACGCCATTTGTTCCCGCAGGATACAGGAGCCCATGTGCACCATTGGTTTGGAATCCGGTTAAAGCGCCGTACATTCGCCTTTCGTCCTCTCATTTTCGTAAACAACACCCTTGCCACGAGAAGACAGTGAGTAGGCTGTATACGCGTGGCCATGTGAGAGCATTTCGAGAGGGAGAGCGGACTCTCCCCACTCTCGGCCATACCAGGGCATTTAGGGCCTGGTGGTTAGGATTCCTGGCTCTCTAGTTTGAAAGATGTCTTATAACATCAGAAAAGTATATTGAGTTATACAATGTTTAAGAGTTACACTCAATAAGTTGTAATGAATCAAATGAAATGTAATAATTAAATATTCCTGAATTATTTTATAAACTGACTACTTCTTCTATAAGTAGTTCACAGGGTCAAGAAATAATAAGTGACAACAAATTCATTTACAAGAATTCCAGTTACAATTGAAATGTTAAGGCTAATGATACGATCTAATTTCTCAAATCGAAGTAGGTGTTCGAAAGTCAAATGTTTTCATCACTAAAGCATCACTACATATAATAAGTGATAAATATCTGTATTGCTTATTTAAGATGATAAAAATATACATACAAAATTCAGGGACTATGATCAAGATAAAATTGTCCTAATTGATTAACATTTACACAATGTTCTTATCATTAATGAGAAGTGATGTGAACAGGGAAACAAGAAGCCGTGACAAACTACGAATGCTATTTTTCGGGACGTTATTCCAGTTCATTCAAAGCTTGTAAAACACTGACTGTTCCGAAGCCATTGTAATTTAAACATAATATTTTGCACCCTATTTTCTATTCTAATTCCAGCTTTAGACATAATTATATTTTTCCTGATTATTGTACGTTATGGTCGGGTTAGTCACCTATTTATTCATGTACCTTTTTACACTAATCAGAAAATCAGGATATCGAGGATAGATTTAGTAGAGTTCTATTTGTCTTGTTGTCTCTCATTCGCGTGTTTATCAGTCAATCAGGTGATAGAATAGTTTTCTTCTCTCTACACCCCACTTCGAACTCACGCGTACTAGCCTCAAGGTTAAGTCGGTCAGCCTACCGCGCCAAGGTCTTAATCTGGATTACAAAAGTAGCCTCAACACCAAAAGTGGGTAGACAGACCAAAGGACACATAACAAGAAGTATCTTAGATACAACAATGTTCAAAATATTCAGATCTCATAATCGTTAGATTATTTAAATTTATTATTGAAAAGTAGACTGATACAACATACCTAATGAACACTTCAAATCTCTTTTATTTAAAATACAAACATTAAACTTAATGTTGATTGAATTACCTTTCGTAGTAAATCGTCTACACTATGGACAAACCATTGATTATTTGAATCACATAATTGTACTTTAATAGTTTGTGCATGATTAGTATAATTTATAACATTAACAAATACTGGTCGCTTTTTTATTTCAACTGAATTCATATTAATATTAATTTTAATATGATGATCAGAAGAATCATGTATTGGCTGTCTTGAAAATATAATCAGATCAATATTATCCGGTGGAATCTAAATGAATCAAAATATACATATATATGTGTGAAAAGATATAAAAACAAGAAGTAGAAATGATGAATATGAGAGCATAGAATAAGTTAGTTATTATATAATCAAGTGAATAGTAAGCGTCATTATACATCAACTTCCTTGACTAGCCCCCAATGCCCTGGTATGGCCGAGAGTGGGGGGTCCTCTCTCCCTCTCGAAATGCTCTCACATGGCCATGCGTATACAGCCTCTGCCAGGGAAGTCCTACTCACTGTCTTCTCGTGGCAAGGGTGTTGTTTACGAAAATGAGAGGACGAAAGGCGAATGTACGGCGCTTTAACCGGATTCCAAACCAATGGTGCACATGGGCTCCTGTATCCTGCGGGAACAAATGGCGTATGAACCAATTTCTTGGTTACTGGCTACCATGGGACTGCATCTCCTCACGATGCTCCATTGCCTTGTGGGTTGGACCCTTAGGTCAAAGGCTCGGGGTGTGGCCCCTTAAGATAACCACCTGCTACGATCTGGGCACCCGGGCAGTATCACAGCCCACACACACAAATATGGTGTGGCGCATATATATTTGGTGCCCTCTTGTACCGATATTTATGTGTTCAAATAAATAAAAAGTATTTGACAGCATGGATAAGAGGATCTTGTGGAAGCTTCTTCGACGCAATGTTGTGCCTGAGGTCTTCAACAGTATTCATATGACGGATCTGCATATGGGGCAGAGCATAGATCCATTCCAACTGAAGGTCAGTATCATACAAGGCTGCTTAATTACGCCTTTATCTTTCTTATGGTGGTTAACTGGAGGAATATGAAGACCTTCTCATCTCAGGAAAAGTACGGGATATAGTGAACAGTTTGGATACACTTAGATGATTTAGATTTCGGAAATGACCTGACCCAACTATAAAACACACAGCAATATATGCAGGTAAACATACTCAGTGTAGCAGTAGTCTCTGTAGCAATGGGCTGCAAGATTCAAGAGAAAAGGCAAAATCACGAAGTAAAATACAGTGAGCAACAACTAAGTCACATTTGATGGAGAAGCTCTGGAAAAAGTGAAAACTTGATGGACACTGGCACTATCATTGATAAACAATGAGGATTTAATGCAAATATGAAGGCACAGATTGGCAAAGGGCAGAATTCTTAGAACTGAAGAACATGTGGAACTCAAAGCAACCGTCAGCAAGCATCAAAGTCAGAAACTTCAATAAGAACGTCAAGACAGTTCTACCGTATGGAGCTCAAACTTCGAGAACTACTACAGCCATAATCGAAAAGGTACAAGTATTTATAAACAATTGTCTACGCAAAATAATCAATGTCAGATGACCGGACAGCATCAGTAATAACCTACTGTGGGAGAGAACAAACTAACGTTTAGTTGAAGAGGGATAAGCCATACTTTGCAGAAATCATCAAACTGCATCAAAAGGCGAATCCTAACTTTGAATCCTGAAGGCAAAAGGAAAACTAGCAGACCAAAAAACACATTGCTCCGGAAATTGGAAGCAGACCTCGAAAGAATGAACAGAAATTGTGGAAAAATGGAAAGGAGAGTACAAGAAAGATTTGGTTGGAGAATCCTGATCAGTGGCCTTTGCTCCACGAGAAGTAACCGGCATGTGTAAATTATGATGTATTAATAATAATAATATAATAATAATAATAATAATAATAATAATAATAATAATAATAATAATAATGCACAGATACTCCATTACAGAAATTGAGACATCCCTTGTAAAAGATAATTTGGCAAAGGAAATATTTCAGTCACTAACATTCTCTCCTTCATTATCACTCCTAAATGATGTGAATAGATCAGGTATATGTACAATATCTTTTGACGACATTTCACGGAAATATCATCAGTAAAAGCGGTCATTTTCATGTTGATTAAACAGTATTAACTGATCTAAGGATTATAAAATCAGTCATATATCATCACCATAGAACCTGGGCATAATAGGTGAATTGATTCAATGTGACACATTATATTAACATATCAAGATGAAATTAACAAGACAATCTAAAACAACAATAGTAGGAAGACAATTAACAGTTTACTGTTAAATGCTATTTTTAAATTACACAATCGAACGTAGAAATAATTTAAAAAAGAGAGAATGACCACTACTACACAATAACAAAATGAGGATAGGGGACAGTGAACGTAAAATCAATGGAAAAAACGTAAGTGTTAAAATTATAGTTAACAAATGATAGACAGTGATAAAACATAGACATCTACATTGTTAGTTATTTCAATGATATGACAGTAATTCCTTTGTCTGGAAGTTACGTAAGCATAGTGTCTTAAATAGGAGAGTACTTGACTTTCAATTAGTATGTTTCAAGTTGAATAAGTGCCTAGTATTTACTTCACGGTGGAAAATCGGCTACTATTAAGTAATCGTCCTTCACATCGAAACTAATGCATTGAAGAATGAAAAACTCAGATATATATTGACCATAAATGAGGTTGTATCGACGAAATCTTCGATAATCAACATGTTATGGAAGACAGACATGGTGATAGATATTCAACTTTCGTATTTTGTACTAATCAACTTTAGTGACGTTCATAGAACTGAATTTATTGTTTAGACGGTAGGACCCAGACTACATCTCCTGTAGCTGGACGGTATGAATATCATAACTTTTACACGATAGGTGTGACTCATAATGATGTAAACAAATTGATGTATTTAGAAGTTGGACGGTGGCTAACAGAAGGAATCCATGATGTGTCTTTCGTCTTATTTGGCATTCGTTATATGGATGTTCACATCGATAACTAAACCAAATAAATTTCATTTTGAACGGCCATCACGTTATTCAATGAGATACGAAATTCAGAGAACCATTGACTTATTGAATGCAGTGAATTTTAGTTCACCTGTAATGATTACTTGAATCTTCCTGTTGTTTCTACGGTTAGCCACCATACAATTCTGTTTAAATACTCGCGAATTAATGACAAACTTAAGGCAAGGTGAACAAGATCCACACATACAAAAAAACAGCCCCATGCAATCAATACAAATGAAATCGATGCATGAGTTTGCTTTCTAAATTATGTATATAATAATCTATATCAACAAATATTCATTATTATGCTTACTGAAACTGTATCACGTATCACTTCAGTAGTTAATTCCCAACCATCAGGTAGAATAGATTTAGCACATTGCATAATATCTACAAGATTAATATTATTGATTGTTGATTGTTTCATAACAGTGAAAGGTTGTTTAATAGTTGATTGAATAAAATTTAAATAATTTCCATGTGGTCCAGCAATATTGTAATAAGAGTCTAAATCAGTAATTGCTAAAATAACAATTGGATTTTCCGGAATTAATTCAGCCTGGAAAAGTTGGAAAAATAAAAAAAAAAGGAAAATAAGGGTACTTCGCAAAAACACTGAAATAATTCAATTCTTTAATGAAGTATTGAACGCAAAAAGACTGTTAGTGATATTGGATCTTCAGAAATCACTTGATGGACGTCTTATTTTTTAAAATTTTATTTCCGAAATTTGAATTTGTCACTTTCGCGCCAAAAGCACCTACTTCTACCTTTAGTTTGTATTTCTCACTTAGAAGAACGTGAAATATGATTGATTCGTCCCCTCTTTTAGTATGCATTTTTTTACGTTGCCCAAAGACATTTTTGTATTGTATATATATGCATGAGTTATGTGCTTGTTTGTTCGTGCTTCCTGGCTGCTTGTGGAATATATATTCTCCCAGTTAAATCTGGTTTTCTACCTTTACATAGCAGGGCTGGGGTGCAGCTTGTTCTGTTGTTTTCTTGTAGAATTTCGTTCAATTCGCTAGTTTTAGGTAATATCGTGATCTCTTCAAACACAGCAGAAACAATCCTAATCCCTTGTTTATACTGAAATAAATAGGCGATGAAGTTGAAATTTGTGATTTATTATTTAAATGTCAAATGGCTTTATCATTAAAATCAATCACCACGTCATTATCAACTATTGTCAATGGGGAAACTATAGGAGATCAAAAAATATTGGACACGAGGTGATTTAATCTAGAGTTTTGTGAGAAATTCACATCAGTGCACACTTACGATTTTCTATAGATATATATCGGATCAAAATAATGACATGATAGGTTGAGTTTACAATAAAGCATTATCAGTAAGCAATATCCCTATATACTGCTGTGATAGGGAGTTACTCTGCAGATCACGACTTCTCAGAAGTTTATATTTATTTATTATTTAAACACATAAACATTGGTACAAAAGGTACCACACAAATCATTCGATTTGTGTGAGGGCTGGAATACAGCTCCGGCATCCAAACCGGTTATAAAGAGAAATGAAAATGAGAACAACTAGTAAAGTTCTGGAGATATTACCGAGGTTTACATAAAGTTGTTCAGGATGCAAAATGTACTGGTTTTAAAACGAGATACTTGTATTTTTGGAGAATTATAGATTGATTACTAACTTATACGACTGGCATTGGAATGTAAATCGAAAATGTACTTTGAACACAACCACAGTAATAATTATTTATAATGAGATGACATTAGTAGTAGTCCATAAGATAGGGGTGTGACATACTGGTTAACATATAGAAACTCTTATGAATCATACAAGATAAAGCATCACTTAAAGTCTAACTAGTAAGAAAGGGCAATGATTACGCCTGATAGTCAGGTATTAATATTATTCAGCGATGCCTGTAATATATCCCCTAATCGTTTCTTTGTTAAATGATTTAATTATGTCTATTTCGTGTTCAATATTTTGAATATAAGTATCTTTGTTATTTTGTTAGAAGGAAAGCCTAACCTACTGGTTAATGGTGTGGTCCCCTTCTGATATCAGTTCAAGTATTATTATTATTATTATTAATGGCTTTATTCAATATTATATTTTGGTACAATATAGAATTCTCAGCACAGGGTATTTCAACAGGTTACTTATGCAAACAAAAAATAGTAACAAAGACAAAAAATAAAGTTTAAAAAAAAAGTCTGAAAAACAGTACAACATTTGAAATTAAAGTCATGTTAAGAATGCAGGTTATTGACTAGGTTAACTCTAACAACCTGTTCGTCACAGAGTATATTTGCTAGATAAGGTATTATAGAACATTTGTACTTTTGCTTGCGTGCATGGATTTTAATGTAATTACGTCTCGTTCTACCAGAAGATATACAAGGAGAAAGATAAGAGTGAAGGGGATGGCTAGTATCTGATAAAATGACACCTGCCAGGAGTTTGCATGATTTTAAATGTCTATCCACAACCATATTAATTATGACCTCGAAAGATTCACCACACACCTTGCTAACTGCCTTCAGCACTCTTCGCAATACAGTAAGGCCTACGTGAATATTTCGGTCTCGTGAGTAGTCTTATTCAGACACACTTCGTGTCTTTACATATTATATACTAATCTGTATTCTTCTATTTTAATCAATTGCTTGATTAACTGACAAAAGAAGATGAACGGGAGAATAAAGTGAAATTTCATGCTTCAAACTAAATGATTTCTGGGATAGTGTGTAATCAGTATTATATTTCTTCAGTGCTGATTAAATTCAAACGATCAAGTTGCAAAGTAACTTCTAGTTAAAGTGGCACAAATATCTCAGATCTTGGAACATAGGGATATCGACTTGAAGTGACTCTCCACCAATCACAGAGAAACTGGTATAGTTCATAGATTTCTAATTCACATCAAACAATATAACGGTCAGTGTTACCATTGGGCTATTCTAGCAGAGACTGGTCTCTTATTACATATTAACGCTGTGATATGATTAGAAAACAGGACACGAAAACACAAAACACACAATAAAAGTATTTACCATTCTTTGACAAAATACGTGTAACCCAGGCACAAAACTTCAGAAGGCATGGAAATCAGGATGTTTAATCCAACTCTGATTGGTACGGATGTGGTTTTAAATGAATAGGTGTATATATAAAAAAGTGTTTAAATGCTCTGTTTGAAAATCAATAGTGTAAGTTTTAGAGAGCTGAAAGCAATATTACCCGGGAAATTTAAAGAGATTCAAAATGACGGTTTAAAAAAATCAAATTTCTGGTATGATCCCTGACGAATTTTCGAGAAATATTATACCCTACAACATTAAAAGTGAGACATTCACGCTTTTCTTTCATTCAACAGAAAAAATGACTTAGATGCTACGACTGAATCAAGCTCGACGCTCGTATCTGTTTCGGCAGCTGACTAGAAAGAAAAAAATGTGAAGTCGAATATATAGTACCATCATACTTGGTTACAATAGAGTATAGCACAATTAATTCAGTAAGACAATTTATGAGATAATAAGAAAACAGCAAGACAGATAACTACCACCAAATACATTGAACGACAATGAACCCACACTACTCACCTTTTTACGTGTTCGTTGTATACGATTAACAAGTTCTCTAGCTAAACGTTCATTTTCCAGTTCAACATCTGGAGTTATATCCAATATTACCAATAGACCTTTAGCATCTGAAGCTGTTTCATATTTGGATGAGTTTACTTGACTATTTCCGTCCAATGTGGGGGATGATGATTTTTCAGATTTACGTTTTAATCCAGATGTAGATGATTGAGTATCACTACACCCACTGCTACTACTAATACCAGTCGAATATACTACTGATAAGTCATCACCGGATAATTCATGCCCACAAACAACTATGTGACCAGTCTATGATGTAACGAAAAAAAGAAAGAAGAGAATAGAAAACTGTCATAATCGATAATAACAACAAATTAAGAGTAAAATCTATTTGATGGAAGTAGGAATATACGATGTACTGATCATGTGAAAATTATGAACATTTTAAAACAGTGATCTTCGTTACGAAATGAACGTGGCGTCAGTGCATGAAGTTATTGATTGCCGGAATGAGCAATGTTGGTAGGTGCAAACTAACTGGATAAAGCCACCGTGATAACAGAAATCATTGGTTGGAAACTAGTGAATGGTGCGAAAAGCAATATAAGGAAGCAATAACGAAGAATGAAAGTTGTTTTTGAGAACAATGTTTCACTTAATTCGAATTCTGCAAAACACTAACGTTTAGTTTTGTACCTCTTTTATTCTATAAATTACAAGCCTTCGTTTGAAGTGTGATTCACTCCAATACTCCTTTTGTCTGGGGATAAACTGAACGTTTTTAAGTCATCTAAGTGTGTCGTAGTCAGTAATTATGGTTGCGTTTTCGCTTATCCAGTCACTTAATTGCACATATTTTGTAGTAATTTCTATTATAGAATTGATTGGAGGTATGCCTTTTACTGTGTTGTGATATTTCTTTCATCATGACTGACTACACTACACTTGATATATCTATAGCATGATGGAATGGTATTTTCGTTGTAGGGAACTTACCATTTTTCGTGTAAGCCAGCAAAAACGACAGATAACGAAACATGCCCTTCATAATGAATTACGATAAGGTGAATAATAATTCCCGCTTAATTTTGGTTTGTTGCCAGGTGAAAGGTCAAAATTGGGAATGAGAGTAGAGTTTATCCTCACTCAGATATAAATCGAGTAGTGTTTTAGCAAGTTAGTCTTCTCTCTCTTCAGTGTATCAGGTGATAAATATAGTTTTCGTCTCTGTGTCCCGAAGGCTGTTTAATCACTAATCGGATTTATGCATTGTTAGCCTCATAGTTGGACTGAGTAGCCTATCGCATCAAGCCTTTAAACTAGCTTGAAACGAATTATCTCTTGTGAACTATTGGGCAAACGGTTCAAGGACTTAAGAGTGAAGTAAATTAGAACCGATCAAAATTTAGCACGTTTATTTAGATCTTGAACTTCAGTATCCCTTCGTACATATCTTTTCACTCTATTTCACGAACATTTCTAATACTTGTTTTTCTTTATTATCATTACTATATTAATATGATTTCAACACGATTTTGTTGGGAAGACTCAGACTATTCCTTAGGAAAAAAACCCAAAGAGTATCTGAAAACACTGGGAAACATTTCATCCAATCAGCACTGAGAATAAGTCCATCATAAGCAAAATGAAGTCACGTGTCGAAATTCCGATTGGATTGTTATCTATCCTGCTACTATGTTTCGCAGGATTCCAGAAACTTCCAATAGCCTGAGGCCATCTGAAATGTTAGAAATATTCTCAAATTTCTGCATATAAATTAACTTAACATCAAAGCGTTCTTTCCATATTTTGCGCCTTTTCTCTCGTGTTCACGTTGTCGTGTAAATTTAGCCTGAATTTATTAGAAGAGTTCAGGAAACCAGTTCAAGCGTTCAGTCAGAATATTTATTACTTGTCTATTTATCTTACGAAATTTATCTCGCTATGCTAATGTGATATTGCGATTTGTGACAACACACATTTACACAAGCACTATGTTGATGATGACTGACTTAACTGACCCATTAATATGCATCGACCTCAATTTCATAATGTCAGTTCTTTTATCCTATGTTGGTATAGTTTTCTTTTGAATTGCAGTGTTGTTTTAAAATTACGTATCAAATTCTATCACTACAGCATACCAATATTTTTTTGTTTCTAGCCATATTTATTCGTTATGAAATAAATTCTATTCTGATTTCATAGTTGACAGGAAAGTCCGGAAAAGGAATGGTACATTTGTTTTTTATCCTATAAATTTTAGTGTTCTTGCTCCACTCAAATCAGCATTGACATAGAAATCAGATTGGTATAGATTTGTGTTTTTCCTCTTGTTGGTATTAAGGAATGTAATTAATAATAAACCCTCGTTTTCATGCTGTACGAATTGCTATTTAGTAAAGTCAGACAACAATCAGAAGTAGAATCGAGGACATGCTTTCAAAGCGAATGGTACTTGGTTCGAATTTCAATGTGAACATTAATTTTTGAGTGCAGTTACATCCAGTCGATGAATCTTGAATAACACAGAATGCACTTTTTGGATTCTATCACTAATGGATATCTAACTTTTATAAATAAGAAGTAGACGTATGGCATTTCACACTGTTATATATATGCATATATGTATATACTACTCATATAAGAACTTACATTGACAAATTGTTCCAATTCTTCAGTTGACATATCTTTTACCTTGTTCACAACAGATTTATAATCATTTTTAAGTCGTGCACCTAATGTTTTATGATTTAATACACCACGAAGTTGAACACCATAACGATGTTTATCACTAGTTGTAGTGAGAACACGAACGTTCAATTCCTTTATTAATAATAATAATAATAATGCATTTTAAAGACAATAAATCTCACTTCTTCAGAAAATCATTTACAAAAGAACATGAAAGTCTATCAGTTCTCTGTGATTAAATATCCGATAATTAATTTCGATAATGCGATGAAAGACAAAGGCTATCAGAATTATGATGACCTTCTGAGAACCTTTGACTTCTCGTTGTATTATCGGAATTTATCAGATGGACGAATTGTTTTAAATAATTTATTTGTACAAAAACTTGGTAATTATATCATTTATGGAGATATTAGAAATTTCACTGATTGAAATCATGAGTCAATTGAAGATAGACCACCATGGAGAACCTGGAAGCACTGGACGGCCGTTTCGTCCTAGTATGGGACTCCTCAGCAGTGCGCATCCACGATCCCGCACCCCGCGAGATTCGAACCCAAGAGCTATTAGTCTCGCGCCAGGCGTTTAACCAACTGAACCACTGAGCCAGCGTCCAAAGGTGTTAATGTCTAACTTCAACCAATCCACGAAGTTGCGCGCACCGTACACCATTGTCTTCAGTGAGTTGATATCTCATTGTCAGTATTCAAGACAACGTTAAACAGACATTATTAGCTTAGGCGCCTCAATATAATAGTTTTATTACAGGTCATGGAATATTTTAATTGTGGCTAATAGTGAAATTGATATGCATTATTGTTTGAAAAGACAGCCTACCAGATTCAAGTTTCACCATGAATATCAACACTGAAATTTAAGTACACAAAGCTGATAAGTTCAAATTACAATAAAATATAGTAGAACAAATGCAAGAACTCAGTTCTCACTAACACAAAATAAGCACAATAATATAAATACACTTTTCTCAATAGATATTGTCATAATGTATTTAAAACGTGTATTGGGTTAATAAGAATGGGAAAACAAAAATAACCAAGATGTTCGATCGTATTATAATATGAATTTTGTGTTAAGTATAAATCAATGAGAACTTGTTTCATTAGCTTGAAGTTAATCATCAAACTTCTGCCAGGGATAGGTCAGATAATGATTATTCAGATTGATCTTTACTGAGTATTGGCTAATATCATGTTTGTCTAGTAGATAATGCTGAAATAAACTATCCATCAAGTTGTAATATATCCATTACTTTAGGTGACTAAACATTAGATATACTATATTCAGATTTTTGGTAGTTGGAAATAGTCGGCAGGATAGTCTCCTTGAACTAGGTTTCGTGTTAGTTGGTACACATTACCAATACATACTCGCAATCTTAAAGAAACTAATGTCACCTAATGGATTCGATTCACGATCAGCCAATCATCCACTCTGAGATGTTGCCATTTAGCACCCCCATCGTAGATTTGATATATTGGATTGATTGGTTATTAAGTAATGGGTAATATTATGTTTGTCTAGTTTCTTAATGTTAATCAAATTCTATCTATTAACATAATGAACATGCTGATTCCGTACAGATACAGTTTCATCTAACAATTTATCTAACACCATATACAGATTGGAAAACTGGTTACGAACATTGATGAACTTACAAATCATGTTTGTTATTTCTTTAAGGTAATTAGTTCATTAAGGTTATTGATATTGATGAGAATTAATATTTATTTATGATCATCCTAGCTTACTTACTTCAATGATATATGTTTGTGCAGATTTGATATTTTTCAAAATATTCGGATCTGAATGAATAACAATAGCTTCACGTAGTGGTGCTTTCAATGGAAGATTACAACGAGTACGTATTATACGACCTAATTCCACGGTAGATTGCATCCAATAGACAATATCTTCTATTTCATTTGAGATCAATTCTAATTTTGGTTCAGGGGCTTGTATGTAATGAATGGAATCGGGAGCACCAGTTTCAGATGAATAACCAGGAAGAAGAGAACTATGATCTACAGAAAAAAATTGAAAAATTTCACTTTTGTTCTAGTTATTTAGGATAATGATGTTGCAAGTGGTTAATGAAGTTGATCACTAAAAGTCAAAGATCCAGGATTTATCATAGACTGGGAGAGTCTAGACACATAATATGTCAATGCTTAAAGTCAAATGAGAAAATACAGGTAAAACACGCTTATTGAGGGAATTCAATCATGCACCTAGCCCCGGTGTATAAATCTTTATCTCTAGGGTTTGTGTATAATTAATTTTAGTCAAGTAATTACAAATTCCTATTAATCTAGTTTATCACTTGCATAGCTGAGTGAGTGAGTAGCATATGGGAACAGTGTGTATATAAATCGAACGTCACGGGTTGTAACACATTACCACTGTTTTAACATTTATAAACCATAAGAATGCTCGGAAACCATGAGATTTGAACAAGAAGAAAGCAATGGTTTGGTATGGAAACATTATAAATACAAGTGCTTTGGGCACTTGAGGAACTGTAATAAGCATATTGATCAATTATAGAAAATTATTTGAAGTTCACAATTAGTAGGGTAGTGGCCAAGTTATTTGTATGATAAACATAAGCTTCGAAGAATATTAAGAGTGAAACGTATTTGGGAAGCAACAACATATTGCACGTGATAGAAATACGATTATTTTTTCATTGGCACGAGAGCTTTCGTAGTCTAAAAGGAACGATTTATTTCATTAAAATCATGGACCGACCTAAGTTAGGTGATCATTGAAAACCTCTAAGGAACACTGAACAACTATCATCTCGAACACCAGAATCAAACTCACCACTTCCAGTCTCGTGCAAAAGCACTTAACCTCTCGACCACTCAGTCAACATCAAACAGCGTTAATGTCTAACTTCAACAAATCCATGATATTGCGCTACCATCTATTATAGTCTTTAATGGGTAGATGCCTCACATCCGACACCGTTGAACTCCACTGGTCACGGATTCTTATTAAAACTCCAAAATCTCCTTTCGATGTTAGTCACTAGTGAGCATATGATAATAAACAAATAGGAACGGTAACCAATGAACAATAACGAAAAATTAAAACGACAAAAAAAGGAAATGTAGTGTCACTAACCTTTCAAATTATCAGTATAATCAAGATAACCCTTGATATGTTGATAGATAAATTCAGTTATAAATGGAGTGAAAGGTGACATTAAACATGTAATCTGATAAATCACTTTCAATAGGGTATGCAAAGCTGCTTTCCAATCATTTTGATCTTCAACAACATCTCCCTGTATTATGAAAACAGTAAAAAAAATGAAAATCAGAATGACAAATTAAAAACGAAGAATATCGTAACAAAATAAAGTTTATAGCCCCTTGACCTTTAATGTTATATGGTTTCGAAAAGTTATTGTCAATTAACATCATTTAGGAGAGTATAAATTCGCAAATTCTACTTTGTACAACATACTTTATATGAGAATCAGTAATACAACATGACTTTCTTAACTGAAGTAAATGAAATGGAATGCAGAATTCAAACCTAGTACATAGAAGTTAGATGTTTTAATAATTAATCCGCAATTGCGATGTTAGATAATGCACTCTCTTGGTAATTGATGGTTTAAGTAGATTCATATATAATTGATTTTACGTCAGTATCCTGAAGCCATTGTGCTTCAGCAGTTTGAAATATCAAGGTACTTCAACTCTTATCATATTCAATAACTCAGTTTAAGGGCAGACAACCACTTTTATTAAACTTCAGTTACAAAAAGTAGTGACTAAGAATTCCTTGGGAGAGACTATAGACGCTTGAGTGTATGACAGTATTTAAATAAGGGGGATAAAATCTTTCGACTCTCTTCCGTACCAACAAATGTTGTTAAGGATAAATTAACTGAATATGTAACATAATTATAACCCAAATGCTCAGGTACGATCGAGGGTGGGGAGTAAGTTCTCCCTCTTCAAATGCTCTCAGATGGCCATGCGTATACAGCCATTGTCAGGGAAGTCCTACCCACTACCTTCTCGCACTACGGGTGTTGTTTAAGGACTTGAAAGGACGAAAAACGAATGTTCGGGGCTTTAACCGGGTTGGTGGTTAAAAGAGACCCACCTAAGGAAAATGGAAAACCATGAGTCCAAACCGATGGTGCACATGAGTTCCAGGATTCTGTGTGAACAAATGGTGCATAAACGTATTGTTCGTCACCAACTACCATAGGACTGTATCTCCTAAAGTTGCTCCACTGTCTTGTGGATTAGACATTTAGGTCAAAGGCTCGGGGATTGCCCCCCCCACTAAGGAAACTATCTGCTTCCGTTTGGGCACCGTGGCACTATTCCAAACCACACATAAATCCAATCATTTGTGAGGTGCATATGTATTTAGTGCGTTCTTGTACCAATGTTTGTGTTTAAATAAGAAATAAATATTATCTACACTAATAATTAACTTTGTCATCAGAAAACTTAGCAATTTGAACACAGGATTGCATTGAAATTTGTCATTTTTCTCAAACTGATCAAAATAATAATTCATTAACAGAGTTTTACAATATTTCTGTGACTCAACAAAATACAAGCGGACGTATTTAAAGAATAAATAGTAATTAACTAGAGGAAAAACAGTAATCATTTACAGATGTACATACTAATTACTTACTTTTAAGCGTTTACGATTCATCCGTACATACCAATTAACAAGGTGATCAATAAATTTTACTAAACGCGGCACCACTGTATACAAACGATAACCTATTTTAAGAAAAATTTTAAAGAAAAATAGTACATAGTATTCAAACGATTTTACAGCACACAGGTATACACTAAAAAAGTAATCGAAACTTTCAGATCTTGTGGCAAACGTGTTAATCTTTTGAGGTGTATTCATCACAAATTGTAGTAACAAAGAATATCATGTAGTATAAGACAGCTCATTTGTTCTAGTACAAGACTACCAAGTAGTAAGTACCTATGACGCCATCATAGGTCAAACTCATGAACTTTAATCTTATCGATGAACGATTAATACCATAGGAACCACTAAGTCGCCGCCCAATAGTAAAATTTCAACTTCTATAGATTTGCGATATAACTTGACGATTATCCAATACCATTAATGACAACTGTTTCATAACAAACATAATAGAAGAAGAAGCAGTTATGCAGTGACTCCTAGTTACAACAGTATACCAACTACCATCCATCCGTCATGTAAACAACCTGTAAACTCAACCAGACTCCACAAAAATTCTTGAGCTAAATACGTATATCGTTTATTCACCGACTAGGGATCCAATAGCATTTGTTGACCATAGAAAAGTTATGACATAAGACGACCATTATTACCCAGTATTAACAACTGGATAATTCCCTTACTTTCAACTTGGTCGATTGCACAGGTTTAAAGCTATTTTCTGAATACAGTTTTATAATAATCGATTTTGAGACTAGTCAGCTTAGTGAATATTGATGGGTTTGAAACTAATTTTAAAGAAATAAAAAACCGCACAAGTTAAGTAACTATCAGGAAAGTTGCTTTGTCTCAAAGACCAGAAGTCATAATTTCAAATATGCAGTCAGTTTGAATAAGACAGGGACTAATAATACTTGACTGTATGTTTATATAACAAAATAAAGCACTATGTATTCATAAGTATATTTATCAAGTACATGTTTATGTGATCAATTTGAAGACAAATTTTTGAACGAGAGTTGTTGATGCTACTACCAGGTACTTGAACTGGAATGTGATAAAACGTGTTAAGAATTAAGGTAAGAAAAAAATGTGATTGGAAGTCAATCATTTGAAATGATAAACCATCCCTCTACAATAATTTAGAAACTATAGGCTACTCAATTCCAAATTAGTAGTTTAATGTAGTATCAACAAATATGATATAATGAATTTATTTTATCATTATTAGCTTTATTCAATATTATATTTTTGGTACAATATAGAATTCTCAGCGCAAAGTATTTCAACAGGTTTCCGTTTCTTTCTTCCTGGTCGGTCCTGGCGATAAATATTGAGTGATCGCCAGTTAGATGTTAACAGTCCAGTAAATGAACATCTGAATAATGTACATTTTTTTCGTTGTATATTGCCAGCAACCACATTCTCTCTTATTGAGCTTTTTGTAACTTTGACAACGAAAGGTTGTACACTTTTTAGAAACGCAGCAGAATAGGCTATGCGATTAACAGACATAATGATATATTAAAAAAAAAAAAAAATAGATAACTTGATGAAATGTTTAGATGGCAGGAACAGGTAGCCTAGATGCTCAAGCAGGCCGCCTTATTGTGAAACAATAATACAGTTTATACAGATGACAAGTTTAAAACGCTACAAAACATATATATCTTTTGTCCAAGAATATTCAAACTAAGCTACATAGTTGTTAACTATGGAAGACCGTTGACATTCTGTGTTGTTAAAAAAGTGAATATGTGATAGATCTCATGTGTTTTCTGATAAATGATAGCTAGTGAACCGAATTTTGAAAAATCATCTGTGAACACGAATCTAGTGAAACAATTTCAATTAAGAAAAAGAAGGATGAGAATTCCTTCTCAAAGTGAGTGAAACAACCAAAATCAGAAAAAGATCAAATGCAGCATAGATTGGGAAAAAAATTCAACGAATCTCCAGTATTCTTGAAAAAAATAATCACTGGTGAATTTTGTCTGTACTTAGCAGGAGTGGAACGCATCGGAATAGTTAGCTTATTTCGTCATTTTGTCACTGAGTCTTCTATCCGTTCGCAGATTAGGTGAACTTGTAATCTCTTCAAACATAGCAGTTATATACAAATAAAAACATCGAAATTGACTTCCAAATAATTCGACGGATATTTAAAATAATTAAAACAGAGATGGCATATTCTACTTACCTGAAAGTTCTTCATGTACAAACAATATTAGACTTTGAGTAAATGATAAAATCCAACGATCCATAAAATTATTTGTCAAAGGAAATTCATCTGATTTCACAATGAATAATTGATGAGTTATTTTTTGATATGGTAAGATTGATGACTAAATTAAGAAAATGTAAAATTGAAAAGATTCAGTTTTTAATCAGTGAACAATTAGTGATATTATAAACACAGAACAAGGATGACAATGATAGATTGGAGTGTATGATATTGATCTAAGCAAATAAGACTACTACCCGTCAACTAATTGTATATTCAGGATAACTAGTATTAAATAACAATACGATATTAATAAATTTGAGATTGGAGACTGAGGTTCAGTAGTTTTAACGCGTCTCATAGGCTTCAATAACATTATTCTAAAAAACTAATATAACCAATTTTTGTCTTATACACTTAGGGTTACTTAGAAGTAGAAAGATAGGAGAGTGTATGAATATGAAGTTTGAATAACTGTCAAATATGGGTAAGAACTGATTTGGTTGGTTAAAGGTAAACCTAATCACCTAAGGTTACTTGCTTTAACTTTAAGGACCCCTTAAAATTCCAAGAAAACATTGATTAGACTACATAAATATATGATATTTAGTTGGTTGAACATATCCTAAAGAATTTATATATCTAAACTTCATAGATACTAACTGGTTGAATAATATGTCAGCTTCGATAGTAACCCGATGCCAAAATGGAGCTGAGAAGCCGTAATCAAGAAAATGTCATGTTAGTTTTAGACTGACATTCCTGGATCGAATATCCACCGTTCTTCTAGTTACTTACAGATATACAACTGTGGTTCCATTTCTTGACTTGGAGATCACATACAACTCCGTTGATGAACAGGTTTTATGATAATGCTTGTTATTGAATGGCGCAGCAAAATCCACCAACTAACAGAAGACTGTTTACTCAAACAACAACTATAAAGTTAGAGCTCATGGAGAACTGACCAAAGGTACTGTACGTAGACTATTCACTATATAAAGTTTTATTTTGGCAAAGACGTATTTTTAGAGATGGCTCTTTCTTTATCCTACTTCTCACAGATTTACTGATAGACTTGGAGAATGTAGATGACATATTCATATCTGGAGAAAAGTGATAAAACAGTTTTTTTAATAACCTCAGTAACAATTTAACTGTATACGGGATGAGTTTCCCTTTTTTGTAGATGTGAAATTGTTTAGGAACGGGTCAAAATCAATCTTTATTTTGACTAAGGGGTGACAAATAGTCGAATACCTAGACCACCTTAAGGACTTTGGAAATATTATCAGCCCTACTGGCTCGATGGTCAATAAAATTTCGTTTTTCAATTCGCACAAAATTTAACACAGGTAATGCATCCATTTCCTGAACGAGGGAGACTATATCGAGCAGCAGTTAAGTTTGTAATACTATAAGACTGAAAGATAATCAATAAAAGTAAATGATACAAATGAATATACTGCAAGTATTCGATGATAAATGCGTTGATAGCAGTATTTACGTCTGGCAAACTATCGAGTGAGTGATGTTGAAGTTTATTTATTTATTTATGTAAACACATAAACATTGAAACAAGGAGGTACTGGGATACTACCCTGGGCGCACAAATCGACGCAGGAATGTTGAAGCAACCGAATAAAAAAACAAATTCAATTATGATCTCAGTGTTATATTTTCAACAACGAAAAATAATTCAACAACTTACCTCAATTAAAAATCGTAATGCATTACACCATGGTAGAAATACATCTTTTACAATCTCATGTACACCAGATTCACTGAATCGTAGATTTTGTGCTCGAACCACCGGTGAATTTATTAAATATAATCGTAGTGGATCTGCACCGTGTTTTTCTATAACTCCAACTGGATCTGGATAGTTTTTGGCACGTTTACTCATCTTCTGTCCATCGCTAAAACATCATGTGCATTTGTTGTTGTTAACACCATAAATATATAAGATATAGTAATATTTAAAAATATTATTACTAATACTAGTAATGTAATACAAACTACTTACCAATTAGGGATTAATGTACTTGACTTTGAGTCATACTCTGAGTATAAGGGCTAGTGATATTATCTTCAGTAGCCTAAATCGAAGCAGGTGGAAAAGGGTTCGAACCTACAACTTAGTGGCTAAAGGTCAAATACCTTAACAACTGACTCAACACTCTATCATTAATAGTGGGATGGTAACCAAGGAAATTAGGAGGAAAACTGCAAAACAATGAAACCGGGATGTAGGAGAGAGGAAAATGTGCAACAGGTATTAAATTATTAGTGTTTGATTGCTAAGGATGCAGCTAAGTAGTCAGGTATGGGCAAGTGAACTGTCGACTTTCAGTGACATATTTTGTAATTATTCAAGTTAAATTAGTGAGAATAAAGTTCGAAATTGAGACCTAGTAGTTTACGGTCGATTGCCTGAAACGACCAAGCAAGCCACTAATCTACTCTAACTCGGAGGATATAATGAATGAACCATTGGGAACATTCCATAGAAGTGCTGAACACTAATAAACACTTAAAACAGATTTATCACTAATGTTATATTTGCCTAGTCCACCAGTGCTATCTGAATTCAATCGATAAGGCTGCACTGTGTCAATAACCAGTCTAAACCACTCTAGATAGCGCGCACCATGTTTGAGGTGGTCGACTGGATATACTGAATAACCTAGGTTACACACTAGTTGACACTTGTCAGAATGGCATACCTATAATCCTGGGTGATTGATGCTACATTGAGGATTAAATCCGGGCCATACAGTTTCACAATCTGAGACGTCACTATTGAGCATTCTGAATAGCTGGGAATGTAAAGCTGAATGATATGAGTTTGAAACCTAGGTCCAAGTTTACTGAAAACCACCTCCGATTAACTGGCACTGATAAACGTAGGTATGCACTTCGGAAATATGATTATTTCACAAATAGTGCTCCTTTTGAATTTATTTAATTGGACTATTTCCGTAAATTTTTCTCTAATATAATGACGAAGATGATACTTTCAATAACATTACTAAAATTCATAGCAATACACTTCAACGTGATCTATAGAATACGACCACCGGTAAATACAAGTATAATATTAGTTACTAATGTGTAATTAACTAGTGGTAAATAACTTAGTTTCAAATTAACAGAGCATAAAAACCTCAAGATTAGATGGATACACCATGACTGACAAATGTTAACTAGCACGAGACCTAGGTCTTTGGCTTTCCGATATTTATTTCCAACCCAACCACCTGACATCAAAACTGATACTGTCCGACTGTCTAAACGAAGTAGGAGGGAGAGAGAAGGTTCGATTACAAACTGAAATTAGGGTATATCAAATTATATTCTGACATATGCATGGTACATATTGAAATGTAACTTTTTTGCCAAATGCATATCTATCTATTTGTTTTCGAGTGATACATTTCAGCAACACAAGTTGAAGTCCACAGGGCGCGGGGTTGGAATCCGGCACCTAGCCAGTGCATGTGAAAATCGATGTCACTAAAAATATTAGATAGTCACTTTGATATATGCTGTTAGGTTTGGAATTTTACATCGCAAGTCAAGAAACAGTACCTGTGAATACCATAACATTAAAATAAAAACACTCATGTACATACAAACTCAAAAGTGTCTTTACGAAAACTTTTAAATAACTTACGCGGCTAAAACTATTCCATTAACAATTAAATTACGAAATGGTGGTTGATCGAATAATGCAGTGGATAATACCAATAATGTATAAAAACCAGCCTCGTGTTTGGTCAATACCTTCAGCGATGAAATCTGCTGGGAAACCTTCTTGAAATACAGTTGTATTCTCAAATGGATAATGTATCTGTGCACAAATTTAAGAGAACAAAACTGTTACCTGTAAATATTTTGAATTACATTACACTAGCAGAGATTACATCTACAAAATTACAGTGAACTTATCAACATTTATGTACATATAAGAAAAATTTAAAAGTGAATATTTACTCCATTTCATACAGTTGTCTTGAGTGCTGTTAGAGGTACTACTGTATTATATCCCTATTGCAATCTTTCTTTTATATATTACCACCTCTGAATTAACTACTTTTATGAATCCGGTGTCCATCTTGTTGTGTTAATGAGGTATAGCAACTTGGGCCGATGCATATATGTGCGTGATCCTACGGTGTAGCTGACTGACTGACTGACTCCATTTCATAGTGTGTTGATAAAAATTATCGGATAGCATCAATCGTTTGTTTATTAATGTGTGATAAAGGATATAAACAGAGGAGCTAGCTTATTAGTTGAAGCACTCGAATCTCCGTATTAATGAGTCATAAGTCCGAACATTGCGTTATTTAATTGCAGCAGTATTATCTTTAGCCGGTCGCACACAAACACAGACACAGAATATGTAGTCTAAAGCTGTACTCTTTATCAGTATAGGGTTGTGGGGATTGTCGTGTTGTAATTGAGATCATGAGCCGACCAATGTTAGACCACCATTGAAAACCTGGAAGCATTGGACGGTCATATCGTCCTAATATGGGATTCCTCAGAAGTGCGTATCCACGATCCCACACGCAGGATTTGGACCCAGGACCTTCAGTCTCGCGTACGAACGCTTAACTCTTGAAATGGGTCACATGAGTCGCAAATCTAAAGAAGCATGAGATAACTTACCTGCTCTGAAATTTTCCTTAGTTCCTGTCAATTCATGAAACAAATTATCTTTCAAGATATTTATTTGGTCATTCTAGAACGTTAGACATCTGGTCAGTCATAGAAATATCTTTTTTATTTCAATTATTCTTACTAACTTGAATGATTCTTTACTTCACGCGTCAATAACTGAGAAAAATGGAAATTACTACTATGTTATTGTTACCAAAGACAAGACAATGGGAGAATGTATTTGCATTTACATACATTTGATGTGTTGTCATGAGAATTAGCCAGTGAGAATTGAAATTTATCGCAATCGGTTTGAACACTTTAAGAACTGCCCGTTTTAAAAGCTTCAGAGAATTTTCGACAAAAAATAATCAGTTTTTTCCTAAGATAATCACTTGCTATTTGGTACAGAAACACTGTAACTGTAGTGACATTTGATAACTTTCCGGGTTTTTCTAATTTGAATATATACAACACATCATACTTTGTGTGATTATGGATAACGTTGAATTGACTTAAAACTGTTGAGTGAAATTAATTTTCAGTAGTTTGTATACAAGAAATATTACTGACATACAGATATAACTGACTGAAGAAACGAAAGCCATTTGAACAGAGAGGATTTGTTGATTATATAATGAATGGGAAGAGATGCCCTGAAGTCGCAGAGAATATTAAACTAATACTTTAATTTTAATCTGCAGGCTGTATTTGTCACAGGCTTATTTTAGTTGAGTTCCTGCTAAAAATTAAAGACTACTAGCCAGTTGTTTCGAGTTAGTACACCGGACCCAGAGGTTCTAATATTTAAGCTTTCATAGTGGGGTCTGAATTCCAGGGTTCGATTCATGACGGGGTTGTAGGTGTGCAATGATGAGAAGTTCCATACTCTGACGAAAAAATATCTCCAAATCAAACCAATCTCCACAATATCCCTTCAATTGGATCTAATTCTACCTGGATTTAATACATTTCAGTACCCCAAGTACAGGCTGTTGCACTTTGGCTTTCATAATTAGACATTTTACTGATACTAATCGACTGCACAAAGTGAAGTGGTAAGAGCAGAGTTCCAAACTTCAGACCCTGAATACTGAATGCTTAATCCTTTGAAAACGCTAAGTTACCACCAACCTACAGTTAATTATACGTGGAATATAAGAGAGAAAATATTATAACCGTGAATTCATTCAGTTAATATACACACACTAACCTGGGCATACGGCATGGATCCTGATTCAAACCAACAGTCAAATACTTCAGAAACACGATGTAAAACACCTCGTCCAGTTGACGATGGAATAGTGATTGGGTCAACACTTTAATGAAATATTCGAGAAGGGTAAAAGAGACAATAATACAAAAAAAAATAATTATTAAGCGGCTGGAAGTTACATGTCTTTATTACAACCAATAGTGAATTAAACAGAATATATATATATATATATATATATATATATATATATATATATATATATACTCCTCTGTATCACATTCAAAACTTACAATTCTTTGTGTAAATCCGTAACCTCTATACCAGATAATAGTTTCAATTCTTCAATAGAACCAACACAAACTACTTCTTCCATATCATCACTTGTCCATATTGGTATTGGTGTACCCCAGAAACGATTTCTAGACACAGCCCAATCACGTGCATCACGTAGCCAATTAGCAAATCTACCTTCACGTACAAAATCCGGTACCCTTTTTTTGTTATAATATGGTATGAAAGTTGAAAGCATAGATTATACAATATGTGAAAATAATAGTTTGACATTTACAAAAGAAATATTGTCAGATTATACAGACTTTTTTGTGATCCCCTAGCAACTATGCAAAGGTACTACATACATTTTGTCTGATAATGCCTACTTTTAATGAAATTTAATTGCCTGAAATAGTGTATAGGTCAGTAACTAAATTCACATAAACAAGATATATATATAACGCATCTACCAAGTGTACAGGTTTATGTGATCGGCTTGAGTAACAGTATTTATGACAGGCTATTTAAACTAACCCTTCCATCTTGAGCTGACTCAACTGAAGTCGGTAAACTAAAGTTTGAAACCGTGATATAATGTTCGAGTGGAGCAATGGTACTTAACCACTAAGCCATTACTTTTACTTTACTATGTTAATTCCCAACAATTTAGTTTATAAACATTCAACAGTTTAAGTAGCTAATTTTGACCATTTTTATTTTAAAAATCCTTCTATGTGTTGTTTAATAAGTATGCAGAGTGAATCAATCTTGAATACAAATAACAATAGTGGTAATTAAAATAGTTGCAGTCATGGATAATCAGTTCAATCCATTGATTCCTAACCATCAGATCAAATATGTAAATCAAATAGGACAGAAAAATAGCTGATAATTGATCTTCTCAATTTATTGAATGTTTGATGGTTAACTAACAATGAATCATTTTGCATAACTAATCGAACAGTATTCTATGCATCAATTTTAACTGTTGAATGGTGCTTTAAACTGATTGAGATTGACGATAGAATGAAATAATTCTACCGTTAATAACAGTAGACAGATCATTGATTAACTCTCTTTTTAGTTCTCAGCTAATCTAAAAGGATAAATCTCGCTTAGAAAATTTACTGGAAACACTGAAGAAGATTGAATTCAGTGAGTATCTATGGCACACAAATTTGTTTACGGCGGTAAACGTAAGTATTTCACTAGGTATTTAGATATAGGTCACATTCTAAGAGTGAAGGGTTAATGATACTACTCAGCTGACCAAATCAAAGTCGGTAAAGCTGGGACTTGGTGGCCAAAAGTCAGACACATTGCCCACTAAGTCACCGCCCTACATGTAGTGTAGAGATAATCCAATCATAATCAAGAGAACTTTGGAGTTTTGTGCAAAACTGGAAAAAAACGGATGACTGTATCTCCTATCACATAAAATAGGTAACAGAAATAACATTGTATACACCTCAGAATGTTAAAATGATGACGACAAATTGTTGTGCATTATTATAAAGTAAAAATGATCATGTTAATCGCATCAAATAGACAATTCTTTCTATGTAGATTGAATGGAACACGTGAATCAACCATATCCCTAAACCTAAACTCTAACCAGGGACAATGTGGAGATACCTAAGATAATATTAGCGTCCTTATGATCGTTTGAGGAGATGGTTGTTATATAGCCATATGGATCAATTTATGTTATTTTTCTCCGATTAACACCTAGATAAAACCCATATTTATGTAAAATCTACTACTTGGCAGTAGTATTGCTTTTTTTCAAAAGTTATTCATACACATTTTGATTGGCTAACAGTGGGTTGAAATTTCGTTGCATTTTTAAAGTTTGTCTCATAAAATTACAAACCACAGTCTTGAGTGCTGTTAGGGGTATGAGGGCGGTTATCACTTCTCGGTTGCTCACGCTGTGGAAGGGCTCTTCTAGAGGTACCTGAAAACGAAATTGGATTAAATGTGGTTTTAGTGACCTGAGAGCGTGACCGAAGTGCCCAAGGGACAACTGCTTGAGGTTGGTCACACACGAACTTTTTGTGGGTAATTTTCGTGTTAGCTCAGTACTTGTTGAGACCTTATTTCAGAAGACAGATATCTGCGGGATAAGGCGAGGTGTGCATTTTTAGGGTAGACCTTTTCTAACCCCACCCTTCTTTGTGGGAAGGCAGCATCGCTGTTACGCTGGTTGTCCGAAGGAAACACCTCACTGCCGTCACACCTGTACAGTCAGCAGTACGACTTCACCCTCAGACCTTGGGTTTGCTGCTTTTAGCCTTACCGCTCTTCAACCAACCTGTCTGGCATGGTAAGACCTTGAGGAACAATTGTTCCAGCCAGTATAGCTCGATTGGTTCATTACGATAGGCAAGCCCGACCACCACGTCAAGGTAGCAACAACGGTCGAGACAAACCACATAATGAAAGAGTAATAAACAAATGTAGAGAATGACTACATTGAACTGCACAGAAAAAGAAATTCTAATAGAAAAACCAAAGGTGTATCAGTGTGTGCACATACCATAGACATTTTGCATTGTTAGCCAACAGTCGATCAATCATTTGTTCAACACGAATAAACCAAGTAGGAACAGCTTTGTATATTAATGGAGTATCTGACCTAAGGTTAAATATTTTTTTGGAAAAAGAAGTAAATAATCCAAATTAAATCTGAACGTAGTTACATAGCAATAATATAGATTTGTTATTCTGGCGACAATATACAACCTCACATATACCATTTTGGAAGAACAAAGAAATATACGTTCAGATGGTTGCAGGCAGGTAACTTTGTTTGATCTAGATATCATCCTAGCTGATACTCAATAGCAAGGTGTACATAAAGTTTCCGGCATTTTAACCGGGTTAGTGGATATGGAGAATCTACCTAGGGAATTTGGAAAACCTTGATTCCAAAACAATGGTGCACATGAATTCCGGGATTCTGGGGGGTGCATGAACATATTGTTGGTCACGGGCTACCATGAGACCGCATCTCCTAAAGTTACTTCAATGTCTTGCAGATTGAACCTTTGGTCAAAGTTTCGGGGAGTGACCCCCTAAGAAAACCACCTACTTCAGTTTGGGTGCCCGATTGGTATACCAACCCTCACATAAATCTAATGATGAAGTGTGGCGCCTCCTTATACTAATGTTTAAATAAATAAATATAAAATACAATCCTCAGTGAACTGATACAACCTGTACGATCCGAACCTGCATCAACAAATCATAACATAGTGTATGCGATTATATCAAGCCACTTAGACTAGTGACCACAACGTAATCGATAGAATGCGAGCAGAACAGAAAAAATACTAAATAAACAAGACATTGGTCACTATTCAGATTATCAGATGGACTATGAGTTCAAATTAACAGTCAAAAATGAACAGACAGATTTAAGGTAAGTACATTTTTTAAAATAAACAATATACATTTAAGATGGTAAATTTATTTGTTAATTTCACTTGGTATTGTTTGTTTGAATCTTCCCACTGATGTTTAAGACTGCAATTGATCAGTCTCTTATCGGCATATATGCATCCTGTGCGGATTGCCTCGATACTGCCTTAAATCACAAGCATTGTAAACAAAGATGGTTGGTGGCTAACAGTGGAATCCAGGACGCGAGTTTCTTCCTAGTTGAGTGAAAGTCAACTCTGAGTGGAAGGTGCACCAAGCTGACGAGTCCCAAGTAGGACGAAACGCGCATCCTGGATCCCACTGCTAGGCACCAACCATCTTTGATTATTTGTTAATATTGAAATGATCATTATACGATGTGAATTTGTGGACTACTATATTTCGAAATAAAAATGTAACGTATGACTAATAACAAATAAGTCGGAAATGTTCAATAAGAGATTATGTATCACATGAAATAACTAGTATTGAGTGTTTGGGAGTTCATTTTTAAAAAGTGATGTCATTCTACGAATATGATAATCATTTTATAAGCAACATGAGACGATTACTGATAATATACTTATCTTATAATTCAAATGTTCTTCAAATTATATGTGGATTGGTGCCACTTTAATTCTTCTCTCCCTCTTTAAAATAAATGTCTAGAATAGTCGTACTACTCACATTAATCGTTAAGAGATGAGCTATCGAGGGGAAGACAGTACGTCCTGGGTTCAGACAGTTTAACGTGAGAGATTCTGACGAGTACACGTTATTAGTCAAGCTTTAACTCGATTATCCGAGGGAGACACATACGACATTGATTGAAAATTTGTCCTAATCTTCTAGGAGACACATCTATTTGAATGAGTACATTTGTGCACATATTTTGATCTGCGTTAGCTAATAACAACTTCCCACTCTTGATTTCCTCACTTAGGTGGCAGATTGCCCTCACATATAGGAAGCTTGTATTTCAGTATCAGAATAACGATAGCTAAAAACGACAAATATACAGTGTGGTCAAGTGATGGTTGGCCACGGGACTGAGTCATTGATATGAGCCCATAGTCGAACTGGTATCAGATTATATACATGCCCAGTCAAAGACACTGAAACAGAATCAACATTATGTTCCACGGTGAAAAACTAATGCTCGCCGGATGTTAGCTGAAATTTTTATTGAAGAGCAACATCCATCCTAATTAATCACTTGATTACAAGTTTAAAATCCAATGTAGATTCACAAACTCAACTAACACGATCATGTAGTAGTGTCTTAAACGAGTCGCACAATGTGAATAACCAGTAGTTATCATTCTCTGTTTAACTAGTGGAAAGTTGAACTATTCCTATCTCCTAAATAATAATTCGTCGCTTTACTTACTTTCAACTTGTAAAGATAAGCAAAATGAATAAATTACTTACCTCCAACAAAATGGATAACTGTGAGTAATTGTACTTTGATGTACTAAACGGCCATTTTTTTTCAAATTCTGACAAATAAGCTTATCAGCATCTTTTACATACATCCCAGCAAAATCTTTAATTTCATCAGTGAATCGACCGTTTGGATTTACAGGACAAATCATCGGTGTATCTTTCCCAACAATACCGTTTTTCAGACACACACGAAAATCATCCTGATAAATGTTGGAGAGAAGACAAAAAACAAACGAGAATATACATTATTGATATGTAGCTGTAAAAAGGAATTGTACAGTTCAACAACCAAATGTATACAAATTAGTTGCCTGGATTGAAGGCAATGTAATACGTACAAAATGGGCAACGTCAAATAACTAAAATCCAAGTGTTCAAATCATTGAAGAAATCAGTTATCATATTTTACAGTACAATGTCTTCAGTAATATATGATAAGAAACAAACATGATCAATCGACCTGATTTACATTTCAGTATTCGTTCGGTACGAGGACATGGTTTGTTATAGCTAGAAACAGATTAGAAGAACGTAACATAAACGAATGTAAAATAGAGTTCAAGTAGAGAGCGGAATTCTCAGCCCACAAACTGTAAGATCTTATTTGCATATATTTGCATGTATATATGTGAAAATCCCCACTCATCAACCTCTCATTCATACATTTCATTTCGCATCATTTCATTATTGCTCTTCATATGTAAAGTTACTTCGCTAAATCTCTGCATTGACATTATTTTTGTTCCTCTTCTAATTTGTTTGAAGTTAATATCATTATTTTATCTACGAACTAGTTTTTTTAACCACTTCATTGATTTCCTAAGGGTTTTTAACAAACTTTTGTATTCTGGTGGCTCACATATTGGGTTATTATTCTTTTTATTGCTCATGTGTGCATTGACTAATTTTTTCATGTCCCTGAGACTGAAACACGTTCCCTGTATTTTACAGACGTTTATTGTGATTGACAATTTGACTACTTACCATTGGAATAAATTAAATTGATCTAGACACTTTTTGAATAGAACAATGTTACTCGTATGGCATCAACACCTATTTGACAATTTCATTGTACAAGGTGATTGTACAAACTGTTGACTATGTCTGTTAGAAAAAGTAATGTTCAGTACTGTAGAAATCAAGATTCTTGTAATCCCAGCAGTCCCATACCATTGGATTTCTCAGTCACCCCCTTCTCAGTTTGAATATACCAGATGACAATTTGCGACTCCTTTCCCGAATTTCGGATAAAATATCGACCCGAAGGCCCTCCACCTGAGTGATATTGCAATGGTGTACAGGCGTTTTCGCCCTTCAAGCCATTGGACTAATACCCGATATGCTTCAGGTATATACAACATAATTAATTATTAGCAATAATGCTTTGATAGTGATCAGATTACCTAAAGGTATGTCCGTCAAGTGTGGTTACTTCTTTAGACTGTTCTTCATAAATTTTTCTGGTTTGTGTCGCGGTATCCTCCCAACAAACAGGGTCCCTTTGATGTTGACATATTCGGTTTCGCCTAAGGAGCATACCTCAAAAGTTTTGCTTGTAAACTTCACTATTTTACTACCACTCACTGCCGGTATCAGACAGATACTTGAACGTTCCTTAACTCAGGTAACTTCCAACCGTATGCCCTTATCAAAATTACACTGACAATACTATCCAGAAAAGTACAGTTTGTAAATTTCTTGTCTCTAAACCTTAACCGAATAGGCATCATCCCCAAATGTACATTGTTGGAGATAAACTTAGTGAATGCGTATTAGCTTCACCTTTGGTACCTCCTACCTGAGTGTCACTATGTAACGAGTAATAATGCCTGTCTACACACCCTTTACTGGTACAACGATTTTTTACCACGGTCAACTTTAGATTCAGTTCCATCCATCATTTTCAAGATAGACTTTCCTTGACGCGTGATTAACATCACAAACACCAAATGCTAACCTTTTGATAATAATAAAGATAATAACGCAGACGTATGGGGACCGTTAAGTAGAAAAATTTAATTCACTAGCGCCAATCAACATTTTAATTGATGCTGATGAATGTAAAAAGATAAAGTAACAACTTTAAAACTGACTAGAAATAGTTTATCCTGTTTTCGATATATATATATATATATATATATATATATATATATATATATATATCAGCTGCACTGATTCTGTGGCAGAAACGAAACAATATAAAGGTTTAGGTAATCAATCAACTAGATATATCAAATTAACGCTACAAACTGAAGTATGATTTTGGAAAAAAGATCAACTATATCGTACTTACCTCACCAAAGTAAGGAGCTTGGTGTACAACACCAGTACCAACATCTTCTGTTACATAGGTATCACATAAAATACGAAATGCACCTCGTTCCTTTTTAAGCTATAACATTCCCAAGATAAATTTTTAAAAAATTCAATAAAAGATTAAAATATGTAGGACTGTATGTAATAAAATACTAACAATCTTTACTAATTGATTATGGACTATAAGACCAGAATGAACAGCTGATAAAAGAAATGCTTATGCGTTCTCATAGACTTGGACGTCGCTAAAACTAAATCCATACAATTCATTATTGGTAGATACATGTTGAAATAGGGAATTCGTGTTTAGATAGCGAATCGGAGCACAAACAATGACTAGTCGTACACTATTGTGGAGTAGTGGCTTAGTGGTTGAGGCGTTCAACTTTGGGGTATTGAGTCCCAGGTTCAAACTACAGTCCACTTAATTCGATTCAGGTAAACAAGTAGTATCAATGGCCCTTGTACTAACATTATGAATCATAACTGATGAACGAGTTGATTATTTCACCGCTGTGTACTTTCATGCAATTTAACAGCACAAGTGACTAGATATACACTAGCCTGTATTATTTTTTAATCCTAAGCTCCATGCAAACCACCGAAAAAAACACTGAATGATATACTTGCCACCGTGATTGCTGACTGAGAGATTGAAAATACATGGGTACTTGTAAAAGGATTATACATAGTTTTGAAAATCATCTAATAAAATAAAGTAGTTTAAGCTTTTTTAGATAGGGGATTCAAAACTTGTTTCAGTCAATTCTGTTTATACACTTTTGCCAAATAAAAGAAAATATAACATCTACGCGTTCATTTCGGCTGTCTCACAACCTCGGCTCAATAACCGTTACTGTTGTTCATAAACACCAGGTCAATAGCCAGAGATGCTATAAGTGAGTCGTGATCCCATACATTACCCAAGAAGAAGTGTAGCTATACTTTTACGTTAGAAAGCATGAGAGCTACATCAACAGAACGAAATCTAAAATGAGTTATTACAAGAATTTAACTTACATGTATAAAGTAACTGAATGGTGGTTGATATGTTAGGCCTTCCATGGATCTTCCTTTGAAGCTACAGTTAAAAAGTAACAGCAAAAATAAGTCACTTTTTGTTAGTACTGAAACAATCGACAACGACCGAAGAAACTTTTAAACGTTGTTAGGAAGTGGCATGAAATTGGTTGATATGCTTATGTCGAGTAGTATTACGTTTGTTTGTTTTCTTGCACACAGAATAATATCCACCTAATCATCTAATTCACATGATAAATGGTTAATAACAAGAAGACTGATCTCAGAGGATCAAATGAGTAATAATTCTTAGTTCTTTTATGTTATATTTCAGTTTAACATAAACATTGGTACAAGGAGGCACTAAGAACATATGCGCCTCACAAACTATTCGGTTTGTGCGAGGGCTGAGATAATTTTCGGGCACCCAAACTGAAGTGGTTTTTTTAGGAGGCCACTCCCCGAACATTTGACTTAAAGGTCTAACCCATAAGACATTGAAGCAACTTTAGGAGATGCAGTTCTATGGTAGCCGGTGATCAACAACAGGTTCATACTCCATTTATTCCCTCAGGATTCTGGAGCCGATGTGCACGATTGGTTTGGAATCAAGGTTTTCCAACTTCCCTAGGTGGATCCTTCGTACCCACAACCCGGTTAAAGCGGCGGACATTTGTTTTCCGTTCTCTCAATTTTGTAAACAACACCCGTGGTGCAAGAAGGCAGTGAGTGGGACCTGTGCGGCTATGACCATACACCCGTGGCCATGTGAGAGCATTCGGAGAGGGAGAGTGGGTTCCGCATCCTCGACCATACCAAGACATTTGGGGGCCAATGGTATAGAATACACATTATCACGTAACTCTGAGTCAATTGAGGGTTATCAAACTCGACCTACATTTATATGTTCTATAAGAGGGCTGATAACACTTAGATATCCAAATCGATACGGGTAGTTAGGGATTTGATCCTGTGACTTAATGGTTGAAAGTTAGGTATTTTAACCACAAAATGCACGTAACTGACTAATACTACCTAAATGGGAACCGATAACGATTCTTGGTCAATTTGATACTCCAGAAGATCAGCGCAGTTTGAAGAACGATTTCAGAAGGATTGGCATCATTTTATCAAATATAAACACTTACAAACGAAAGAATTTATGGGTTCGAGCGACGAACGGTGTTGGTACAGTTCAGCTACAACTGGAAAAGGATTAATATAAGAAAGTGGAACTAATTCGACTACCTTCTGTCGAACTGTACATACGTTTTAATTTCCCTCATTATATTCGGTACAATAATTGATATAAAGGAATGTGTAGTAGGTATTATTGACTACAACAACCGTGTAGTCGTAGTAATAAATCCATTGTCGTTGGAAAAAGTCAGATTAAATCAATCAGATAAATCCGGTCCACACTACTTACTTTATAGGTTCAGTTAAAACGACACAATATCTTTAGATTAATACGTTTTAGCACAAATAATTCCTAAATGATTATCTTATAACAAGAAACACTCCATAGTGCTCAATGACAGGTAAGAGACACTATGGTGCTCATCATCTATCAAAATAAATTCTATTTACTCCGCTTTTTACACTGCTTATGCAAGAAGTAATGATAATACCCAGCGTTTTAAACCACGTTAGATGGAACGGAAGTCGAACCTTTCAACAACTAGTTGGGAGTTGAGTGTTTTAACTACTAATCTACCGGTTTACAGTGAAAAATAGAGACCCAGTGTTACAAATGAATCACAAAAGCTCCAAACACATTGTCGTCACGCTAAAACATATATCTTAAGTAGTTTTTGATCAACTGGTAAAACACAATGACAACTACTATAACAGATGTTGCAAAGAGAATACAAATATTATTTGACAATGTAGGACCTAAATAAAATTTTACGGTGGATATCACCATTTAGAAAACACAATTATTGTAAGCGACAATAAAACATCACAATTTTTAGATTATTAAATTCTCAAAGTAATTAGTTCCATGTTGATGGAAAGTTATCACAAAATCCTGCTATCGGTAAAAGTTAAAAATCGGAATAAAACGTCTGAAAAAAACTGATACAACAGCATTTTATGGGAATTTCCAAGCGATTTGGATTTAGTCACTTTACAACAGTTGGGTGCCGGGTGTATGGAAGACATTAAAAAGAAAGCTATATTAGCAAAAGTCATAGCGACCGAAATTAAACAGCTCCAACATTTTGCCCAGTAATCTAAATAGACCTTAGTTAGGAAAACAATCAAAATTATCAGAGATATTAAAAGCAACTATGTACTAAATCCTCGTTTAGCCAACATGTGCACATAAGCGGACAAGCAGTTAGTACAGAGTTGATTATTAAATTACTTACCCTTGATAAGTCGGATTATTCCCCTGAAGAAGCGCGGGCCAGATTGCCGGATAAAACGCTGGGGTTGTTTAATTTTGGTCGCTAAGATTGTCATTATCGTAGTTTTTAAGGTGCATTAACTTATAAAACGTTTAAAAGCACAAAGAAAATATCCATGACTTACGTATCTAATACTTTGTATTCATTTTCTTGCTTATATACTGATGTAAGACGAGCCTTCATCATAATGAATTTTCGATTTTTGGATGTATCTGATTAAAGAAGGAAAAATGTTAAGTGTTAATTCGGAACGAGTACACACTGAAAGCTATTTACGTTGTTATCGATTCACTGCCAAATAACTGAAACATCTCTAAATAAAGAATAATAAGAGATACCAGCACAAAACCTTATACATATGTGATTAACTTTAAGTTCCCACATCTTAAAACAACACTGGGAAGAGAATAAATCAGTGATAAGGCAAAATAAGCAGCAGAAAAAAGAGTCAAGAAGAGATGATAAGTAAGCATACTTGGCAGTGGTCAAAAATCTCAACGAATACGATTGGTTTGAGCTTAATTAACAATTGCAAAAGATGCTAATTGTTATGGGTCTGAGAAATCTATTCCTTTAAATTTGTGGGTCTTAAAAACTATATCAATGAGTGTAGAAATATCGATAGTGTGAAAATTTTCACTGTGTACTCTAGCAAAGACAATAGTTACTTCGACATCATTTGCAATTGAATTAACTCATCACTTACCCAAAATCTTAACATATTCTTTATCAGGGTGCATGCACAGAGCAAGGTTGCTAACAAGAGTCCAAGGAGTTGTTGTCCAAGCTATCATTGAAGTTTCAGGATCATTATCCAATGGGAAGCTAACAATAACTTTTTAAGTAGTCGATGAGAAATAATAAGTTACTAGCAGGGTCTTGAACGTCTTTGTAGTTTTGTCCTGCCTCAAAGTTTGAAAGAGGAGTTGAACATGCAGTTGAGAACGGCATTACTTTTAGACCACGGTACACCAAACCCTTATCATACAGTTGTTTAAAGACCCACCAAACAGACTCCATAAACCACGGATACATAGTCCTGTAGTCATTTTCAAAATCAATCCACCGACCAAGGCGGTTTGTTACTTTCTGCACATAAGCTTTTAATATAAAAACTTACTTCCCACTGAGAACTGTAACGCATGACAATTGCTCGACATTTATCATTGTAGCAGGCTACTCCCATTTTTTCAACATCGTGGGGGCCCGTAATTCCGAGCTCTTTGTCAACTTCGTACTCCTTTTAAATAGGATTAAAAAGATTAACTAACCACAGGTAATCCATGACAGTCCCATCCAAACCTTCGTTCAACATGATGACCTCTCTGATGAGCGTAACGTGTTACAATATCCTTTATTGTCCCAGCTAACAGATGGCCATAATGTGGTAGACCTGTGGCGAATGGCGGGCCATCATAAAATGTGAACCTAAAATAGAAAACAAAATGCTGAGGCGAAGAAGCATTGGGACATTATAAGGCCCTAAATATAATTTCACAAAATGATTACCGACGTTTTCCGGAAGAGTGTTTCAAGGACGTTTTGAATGCATCATGACTCCTCCAAAAGTCTAGAATCTTTGTTTCTTCCCCTGGTATATCTACTAAGATGGCATTTGCGACTTGAAGTCAGAAAACCCAAGATCACTTCGTTGCCCCATGCTTTGTAGGGGTAACGCAAGAGTTAAACGTGGACGTTATTTGTTTCTAATGTCCAATAAGTTGACGAGAAGAAATAGCATATGATTACAATATCTTCTTTATGTTGCTTTAAACGAAGGAAAATCCATATTGCTCTGTCTCTTGCAACTCCACTATTGGCTATTAGTTGTTATTTTGACATCTCAGATCCCTGAATAATCGAAAAGTAGTTCAGGTTCGCATTGTAGCGGTAAATAAATCCCCAAAATAAATAGCACTAAGTTTTCGACATTGGATGCTGACCATATGTTTTTAGTGGACTCATCTAGCTGAAGGCGCTCGGTCAGGCATCCGCACCAAATCACGTGTGGTAACGCCGTGCTCAACATCAACCGCAATCGCTAGCCAGATTAGATCAGAGAATTCCGATATATTGGTCATCGCCAAATATACTTTTCCGATCTCCTCGACTCTGTCTTTTGATTTCTCTGGGTGGGAACGAAATATATTAGAAGGTGTTACTGGTAGAAGCGTTGTCAAACACTGAATACCTGTGACATCATCAGTATTATCTCCTGAGGATGATTGTTGACTGTAATTAAATGCGAAAAATTGCAAGGGAGCATAGATCAGCCACTTCACATGAAACTGGGCAATGAAAATCAATCCGTAGATGGATTATCGAGGTTTGTTTGAATCAACTGAAGTCATACTCGTCAACCGGTACGCAGTTTCGAAAATTCGCTGGCTTGTGGATGTTTCTGTGGTGGTGCGTACTACCTTTTATCCTGCTTACGGTACGTGTTTTAGAATTTGATTTGGCAAGTAGAGTTGTTTATATATGTGTTATGTACTAGTAACCTTTTTTAGTGTAAAACGTGTAAAGAAATGCAATATATCTATGTCCAAGCCATTAATGGCTTTATTTTCCAACTCATTTTCCATTTGTTCGCATTCATTTCCCCTTTATTGGTTGATTGGAATACATAGCAACTCTGTTTAAACAATTTACATCAAGTAGGAAGGTGTTGAGCGCTCCAAAAGTGATGTTTACTGTCTACAGACTTTTGTGGTGAGACTATAATTTATGGACGAACTTTGAGCGACGCTGAAGTAACCTTGAGAGTAAACAACTACTAATTAGGACTAAATAAGGGTTATGAAATAGTTAGAATTCTCATTTGCAATTGATGGTTAGGGTTAAAAATTAGATTCCGGGGTTTCCATTGCGAACTGACATCAGCTATAATGCCAAAACTCTATTTAGCCAAATGTATGAATGAATTATGCTCCCAAATTCGTGACTTGCCATCTTACATCTGATTGGCTCGTCCATGAATTGTAGTCCTGCCAACAAGCGTTACGGATTAATCGCTTAACTAAATAGTCTGGTTTCAATGAATATGGGGACGACACCTGTCTTCCTTTAAGTTTATCTACATCGGTCAAAGTCCTATGTATATCACTGCCTCGGTATGCACCACAGTTTGAAGTGATGGAAAATGACAGTAATTTAATATCAAGGTCAATAATATCACATGAAAAAACATGGCATATATCCTTTTTGTTGCATCCACTTATGCTTTCGGTAGTTTGCATGATTATATGACGGTAGTGTTTGTGCCAACATTGCATAAGATGATGATAGTCCATTCAAAATTATCTTTAATACATTAAGTGGGCTTATTTTTAGTACTTTTATGTTTAGACATAGGCAGGTGAAATAAAAATAGAAGCAGGTGCGATTTCTTCGTACTCTGTTTACTTTGCTTTCAGAGGTCTCTGAATATTTTAGACTTATAGACTGAGTGTATGCAAAAAAACACCTTATTTCCCGTTCAAGGTTTGAGTTCCTGCTGTTCAGTACCTTTAAGACAAATAATCTTGTGCACTTAATGATCACAATGTTTTACACTTAAGTTTTAAGTTTTTCAGTCACTCGTAAACAACTTATAACCTGGAAAAATTATTCACCAGTGATTTAGATGATGATGATGATGTCTCAATTAGAGAAAGTTTCCATCCTCAAGAATACAAACAGTGCTTTACACTTAGTACAAGAACGACACTACTGTCACAACACATATACGGAGACGAATTGTCTGTCGAACGCGAATAATTAGTCCTACTGACAAAAATGTGTTAAACACTTAAGTTTACAACTAGGATCAGGATTTATGACTTGAGACTAAAGTTCTGGATCTGGGATTAAAGTACCATATAGGCCAACCGTAAAACATAATCTGAATGTCATGTTCTAACAATAAAACCTAATTTTGGGTCCTATTGCCAAATTCGAGTTTAGGTTTATGTCTAATCACTCATATTTATTGTTTTCCAACTTACTAAATGCGGTCAGGGATTTGTCAAGGTCATCTGAGGAATCACTAAAGCTCAATTTTGTTAATGTTTACCTGCTGCACAGTATTCTATCCCTTTGGTTAACAGATAATCATTCACCTACACCACATGTAAAATAGGCTGGCTAAAGTTTAATGAGCTTTCTAAATCCGTACCGAGATTTCATCATGCATTAATCCATCGGGACTGATGAAACGTCCAAGATAAGTGAAGTATTCAACACACTCAACCACTTCACTCGACATCATCAAGTTAGGAAATGATCCATACCAATTCTAAAACAAAATTTTAGGTTACGAATAAGAGGAATGCATCTCATATTTGTTTGTATTATTAACAAGGCGATCAGAAAACTGCATTATTTCGACATCTCCAAATAAAATTATGTAGTCTGCATATCCTACGTTGATAGGAAAACCTTCTGCTAGGAGTTCAATCACTAAAAAGTTGGATGAAAGAAGTGTGATTCCTTGAAGGACATCGATGACAAAACTAAGTAAAGTGGGAGAGAGAGAACCTTGACAAACCACTTAAGGTTGACAGTTTTGATGGCATTCCATCATAAGCTTTAATTTGATCCTTAGTGTCTGAGTAAAGAGCACTCAAAAGGTTTATGTACTTGTATTATAGACCTTTTAATGGAAAAAAAATTGCCGTAGAACCTCTTATTTGACAGAGTGAAACGCTGTTCAATTTATTTTATTATTATTTATTTGAACACATAAATATTGGTACAAGAGAGCGCCAATATATATGCGCCACACAAAACAATGAGAATTCGAAGAGAAAAGAAAAATAAAGGTAGGGAGCGTAAAAAAGGGAGAACAATAACGAAGAGACTGGTGTAAGGTAGTGTGGTAGTAATGAGGGAACGGAAAGGTACAATCGGAAGAAATCTTTCAGGTAAGGGAGACACAACCACTTTTTATGAAGAAAGTAAAATAAGGTTACAGCAGGATCGCCACTGGCTTTTATTCTGAGCCATATCTGATAACGTCTCTAGCCACTGTGTAGCACCATCTCTCGGACCCCAACCAGGGAGTCGTGAAGGACCAACAGAAGCCAGTCCTTTGCAGCTTTCTTTCATGCCACGACACCATGTCATGCACTGAACACCTCTCCGCTTCTTCCAACCAGTCTCGAAACGCCGTTCAAAGGTCAAGAAATATAACTATAATGGATTCCCTTAGTTTGGTGTTCCCAAGCTCCAGATAGTTCAGCAATTAAAAACTTCATGCAGTATTACCATACTTTATCCTGATGACTCCTAGGATTTTTCAAAATACTACAACACCGGTAAACGTTTCAAGTCCAATTAGGCAGTAGCCTTGTACGTATTGCTGATATAAAACTTGCAGCCCAAGTTATGCGTCTAAACTGTTTGAATATTACTCTAATTATGAAAGCATGTAACTAAGTTTTCTCATTTAGGAATTAACCTGTATTAAAATTTTAATTCACTTACCGTACTTTATCGTGTCTTGACCAGTTGGTTGCATACTCCAAGTTCCCTCTACTAACACTGGTTTGGCCATCGGCGTAGTATCACCTATTCATACAAGCGGTTCAAAGTTGAGTACATTAACCTGTACTTGATTGATAAGTTACATAAGAGAGATAAGGGAAATATACTTAATCACATTCATTTTTTATTAATGACAAACTCTCATCTTTTGATTTATTTTCTGTTTACAATTTCGTCCAGAATGCACCTAATTACTGTGCATCAGTTGTTTTGGTTGCAAATGATACTAACTTCAACTCATTAATATGTAAGTCCTTGTCGTCTTCAATTAACTCACTCTCGTTTTATCTCATATCAGCTGAATATGATGTAGCATTACTGAAATTCTCAGCAGAATGGTGTTATTATAGCCGAATGTTAGCGCCAATCTATGAACAAGCCTCGGAGAAGGTTACTGAATTGACAAAAGTAGTTTTTTCATAAAGAGTTTGATAGACTTCTCTTCTATTATTTAGAGTCGTAAAGTTGCTTTTATCTCAATAGACTGTGAAAGTAGTCGTAAGTTGCACAATTTACCTTTCTTTATCACTTTATTTTCACTGAGTATCTTTACCTTTGCACATTTAGATGTCACAGAGGTAAATGACTACCTGCTTAAGTGTGTCTATACGAAACATTTAATTACTTTGTTGTGAAAAATTTTAGACGTAAAAAAGACATCCGTAGGCTATGCTGATCAAATCATAGACTTGTTAGAAAAACCACTGAGTGTATAAACCTAATGTTAGGTGTAGGTTGCTTGGTAAACAAGGTAGATTCATAGATGTTTATCGGCTAAAGTGGTTGGGATGTTGCAAAAATCACTACCCACTTCAGTGTGATATACTGAGAAAGGAATCCTACTGATCGATAACATTCACATCAATCTTTGACAACGGTCAACGACATCATTAACACTGACAGTATTAACCAACCTTCAAACAGTAGATGGAATAGATCTTGAACTTGGAACCCGCTGGTTTAACCTCAAGTACTTTTTAACATTAAGCTTCATAGCTCATTAGCCATAAACTTTGTAACTGACACTTACCTAGTTTAATTGGCTTTTTAATTCTGAATTCCATTTATTCTGTCACTTTTAAATATGTAATTAGCAGCAATAGTTGTTCACTGCTTTATCTAACCAAGTAAAATATATCGTGTAAACTAGATTCGTTGGTTTATTCTATTCACTCGACTAGTTACTTTCCATTTTAGCAATTGGGTAACCATTAGTTCTCATCTTAAAATGGACAATTTTTATTATGTACAGCATGTTCTGTGACAACGTTTACAATGACAAAAATGTTTGAGCTACACGTTGCTCATCGTTTTTCAAGAGTAATACTGTACTTGCTGATTGTTTCGTGCTTTGCCGTTGTTCTTTTCTAACTCGTGTTTACATATGAATATCCTACTTTACGCTGATAGTTTCTTCTTAACTTCCCCTCTCTTCGAAACGCTTAGAAAATATATGCACCAAACAATATATCCGTAAATATCCTACAATTAAAATTACAAAATATGGTAAAATGCTAAAAAGTGAATATCGTAATGAAAGAAGTGTGGAGGCATTTGTTAAATTTGTTGAAGATAGCCTGAAGTTTCCAGTTGAAATTATCAATGGTCATCAGGATAAACCGGTAAAAATTTTGGATGTAAGTAATAATACAATAAATTTTGTTCTTTTCGAGTTACATAATAATTTCTACTGTAATATTCAGCGTCCTACTGAACTCTTAATAATAGTCTTGAGTTGTGGTGTAAATTGAAGTATAAGTAAGCCAGTCGCTTAGTGGTTAAATTAAACTATGATGTTTAAAAACTCAATTTTCGATCCTCAGATCACAGACTTGAATTCTACTGTTTGTACTTAGGTTTCAGCAGCCTATTTGCATATATACTCCTTACACAAATTGTAGCCAATAGCTGAGTCTATATACATGTGATTGATAAATGTTTTATATTACTATCATTATCACTATTATTTGCTATTTTCATTATTATTTTGTCATTACATAATGATTAAACTACTTCCAACCACTGAGTTACATGTGTAAACCTTAATTTAGATAATTTGACTTGAGCACCCGAGTAAAATTATTAATTCATATCTGATTATATGAGTTATATTTCGATTGAAATCTGTTACTATAATTCAGTGATCAGGCATGACTTTGTGATTTATGCATTGGATTAAAATAGATATTGAGTGATTAAACGTAGTTTTGAGCTATCTGGATTTATATGTACTGAATTAAGATTTCTTGTCTATGTATTAATTGAGAATCTTGTATTTAAACCTATTGAATTATCAAAATAATATCAATCGTTGTTAATTTTGATAAATTTTTAGAGATTTTCATAAGCTCTAATCCATCTGTAATCAAACAACTCAACACCAGCGATAATCTCAAAATATATCATCTTATCCTACATCTTCTTAGTAAAAATAATAACGATTAACCATAAAAGTGCTAGTCATATGAGACGTTCGATTCTCTCAACAATTTTGATTTGAACTTCACTCCAACCAACCAGTGATGTTTTCGACTTTGGTGGTCTAGCATTAACAGTGAAATTGACTGAGGTCTTACTTAGAATCTGGGAACTGGATGTAATCCCATGTGACTGGTCTCAATCACTGTGCCAGCCTATAAGAAAGGACCAAAGTTCTCTTGTGACAATCACAGAGGAATCAGTTTGACTAATATAGTGTCTAAAATATTAGCTTTGGTAATACTTCGACGCCTAACTAAAGCTCGTAAAGAGCAGACTAGAGATAACCAGGCTAGTTTCCGACCAGGACGTGGCTGTATAGACCAGATATTCACACTATGTCAGGTCGTAAAACATAGACACACATTTACACGTCCCACAATGGTAGTATTTCTCGACCTTAAGGCGGCATTTGACTGTTGATCGTGAGGCTCTATGGAAGTGTTTGTCACTGAAAGGAGAACCAAAGAAGTACATTAACCTTATACAGGCTCTCTACTCGAACACAACTGACTGAGTAAGAGCTTATGGCGAACTGTCATCAGAATTGATTACCTCAAGTGGTGTTCGTTAGGGCTGTCCACTCTCCCCATTCTTGTTCAACTTCGTCATTGACGTACTTTTAGAGATAACACTCTCCTCATCTAAATTTCCAGGGGTTGAACGTCTACCAGGAGATTCACTTGTTGACTTAGAATATGCCAATGACATAGTTCTATTTGGTGACAAAATGCAGGGTCTTCTGACCACTCTAAGCAACAATGCAAGCATGTTCACGATGCGATTCTCCCCCTCGAAATGCAAAATGTTGCTTCAGGGTTGGGTTGCATCGACACCCGAACTAATGATAGAGAGTGAAGTAGTTGAGTGTGTCGACCGCTTCACTTATCTTGGAAGTCTCATCAGCCCTTGTGGTCTGGTGTGTGACGAAATCTCAGCATGGATACAGAAGGCTCGACTAGCTTTTACCAACTCGCATCATTTATAGCGTAGGCGAGATATCTGTTTACGAACCCAAGGACGGGTTTACTGCGCATCAGTTCGTTCCATCCTACTTTACGGCAGTGAAACATGGCCGTTAAGAGTAGAGGATATTCGTAGGTTACTGGTATTCGATCATAGGTGTGTTCGAAACATTGGTCGTATATCCTGGGAGCACCGAGTGAGCGATGCAGTTGTTAGGAAACGTGTACTGGGTAAGGATGATAAATCAATAGATGAAGTAGTGAAAATTGATCAGTTGAGATGTGTGGGACACGTGTTACGTGGATTAGACCTTTAAGTTAAAGACTCAGTGAATGTCCGCCTAAAAAAACCATCTACTTCAGTTTGGACACTCAGACAGTATCCCAGCTTATGTACAACTTTGTTTTCTGTACCACACACCACTTTGGGTGCTTAATTGTGTTAGATTTTATGTGAATTAAAGAAGAAGAAAAATTCCACGTAAAGAAATATAATAAGAATTTGGTGTATATATATATATTTACTTGTTTACTGATTTATATTTGATTTAATAGCTGAATTCATGAGTCAATTGGAGCTAGACCACCATTGAAAACCTGGAAGCACTGGGCGGCCTTTTCGTCCTACTATGGAACTTCTCAGCAGTGGGCATCCACTATCCCGCCTCGCGATATTCGAACCCATGACCTACCAGTTGGGTGCCGGCTCAGTGGGCTAGCGGTTAAGCACTCGCACGCGAGACTAATAGATCCTGGGTTCGAATCTCGCGGGGCGGGATCGTGGATGCCCACTGCTGAGAAGTCCCATACTAGGACGAAATGGTCGTCCATTGCTTTCAGGTTTTACATGGGGATCTAGCTTCACTTGACTCATGAATTCAACTATTAAGTTACTATAATATCCACAAAAACCCTTCTCTGATTTTATTGATTTGTTATTTAGTTTTTAAAGTTGTAAATATTATTCTATTTTTTTCAACATCTCTTAATAATAAATACCCTCATATATTTTTTTTTGAAATACAGAGTTGGGTAAATAAAAGTGTTGAGACGAAATGTATATTGGCATTGGTTGATAAGTTGGATACTTCTCATATGGATTTATTTAAAAAAGTCGCTGCTATTGAACAAAACTCATGTAAATTTTACATATATTATAAGTAAGTTTTTATTGATAATATCTATTTTTTTTCTATCTTTCTATTTTTATTCTAAATTTATACAATTCTAATGAGTATAAATTCATTAATTAATTTCACAGGTTATGTTTAATGTTCAAAATTGTTTTTATTGCTGTTATTCTTAACACTGCATTTGTATATATTTTCCAGTTGATGTGATAGTGTTATGAACTTTAACCACTAGCTAATAGCTATCTGAACTCACTTTTATTTATTTTAACACATAGATATTAGTACAAGGAGGCACCAAATACATATGCACCACACAAATCTCATTTGATATGTGTGAGGGTTGTGATACTGACCGGGTGCCCAAACCGAAGCAGATGGTTTTCTTACGGAGCCACACCCGGAGCCTTCGACCTGAAGGTCTGATCCACAAGGCAGTGGAGCAACGTCAGGAGATGCATTCCCATGGTAGCCGGTGACCAACAATTGGTTAGTACTCCATTTGCTCCTTCAGGATTCTGTAGCCCATGTGGACCATTGGTTTGGGATCTAGTTAAAACGCTGGACATCCGCTTTTCGTCCTCTCATTTTCGTAAACACCACCTCCGCCACGAGAAGGCAATGAGTAGGACTTCCTTGGCAGAGGCTATATATGCGTGTCCATGCGAGAGGATTTGGAGATGGAGAGCTGACTTTCCCTACTCTCGGCCATACCAGGGGATTTGGGGGCATCTGGACTCACTAGGTCAGTGGATAATGTTATAGAGTTTAGAGGCATTGGGTTCGAGTTTCAGTGTTATTATCAACATTGGAATGAGATAGATACATCCAGCTGATGTACCCTAAATAGAACGAAACGTACATGCTGAACTCCAGTCCTATCCATTATCCCACTTTAATAAGATCCTTATTCAATGTTCGTTAAATATTTGTAATCTTTAGTTGGAAACTTTAAGTAATATGAATTAAAATTGACTGCTCTGGCACTTATTGTTTTTCTCGAATTATTAATTGTTAATATTATCCCATATTTTCATCATAACTAATTTATGTATTATATTGTTCACTATCTCTTTAATTTGTCATTATCAATAATATAATTACTTTGATGCCTTGGGTTCTTGTTCTCAGTATATCTCTCTTTGTCTTATTGTGCTTATATGATATACGTCAATTTAGACTGATCCAAAGTCTACAATTGATTGATTGCCATAGTAGATAACTGTTAACACTCGATGTACACGTTTTATTCTGCATAATTCTTTACGGCTCCCACCTAATCCCTATCATTTTTCTGATAATGTATTATAGCAATCCAAAAGCATTTGAATCTCTACAAGAATTTCCATTATTCAATAATACTGTAATGTTTATTTGTTTCTTAGTGTCCGACTTGATTTTTAAATTATCTTCTGATAGTTTTTCTATGGATAAATCTTGATTGCACATCTTTAGAATTCAGCTGAGTTATTATAGCATAAGAGTTAGGGATTAATAAAGATTTTCATATGTCGAAACACCATGGGCACTAAAGACTATAAAAACATAACGTTATCTCAAGATTAGAGCACACCTTGCTGGTGAGTGCCAACAAGCACGATACCTAGGTCAACTAGGGTATACTCCCATTTGACTCCAGTCACATAACACCAAACTGTAGTCATACACAGAATAAAAAATGAATTAACTGGTCGTCCACATTTTCCAGCTTCAAACAAGTTGTGATATATTAGCAGGATTCTCACTCACTACTGCTATCGATGATTTAGTTCACCCCTCATTTTCTCATTATTATTTGTTCCACTGATTACGACCACTGTCGATTTTCGTCCCAAGAAATCTAGCCTTAAGCTTTTCTCGCTAGTTAACACATTATTACTATTGAGTTGCTTGTTTTTTTTTGTATCCGCTGGAACTGTGACTCAGTAGTTAGGTTATTCGACTACCAAACACTAGGTTATGAGTATGAGTCCATCTCCGCCTACTTCGGGTTGACCAGTCGGTTAGTATCAAACATAAAGTGTGGCTCAAATTCGAGTATACAAGTCTTCATTTAGTGAGTTTCATTTCGTATTTTTGACCATAATTTCAACTACATATGAGTTTATAGTACCTGATTACTGATATATTATTCAAACTGGTACAACACGGTTGCTCACCTCTCACTGATTTTCATTAATCTCTAGTTCTTCATGATGAAAGTAAGTATCTGATAGTTTATTAAGGTTTACAAGATAGTGTATAACATCCTTTCTGAGAGTAACACTGAGAGTCATGTTTTTTCAACCTTAGAATTTGATCGCACTAAAATTCCACCATGCCCGAAGAATCCGTAATGAACATTTTGTTCTTAATTTATTAACCACCTTATTTTTATTGTTTCTTTCCCTTACACTTCACAATGCTCATTCTTAAATTATATCTATAGACAAGTTTTTCAATAATTCTCATTGAAAAAGTATCATCATTCCTATGTGTGCTTATTTTATAAACGTTTACAGTGTTATTTTGCCGTCTATCTTTAGTTTGCATTAGATTTGTAGTACAAATATTAGTGTTAGTGTTTGACATCGCGTTTAATAACTGTGCAACATATCACGACTCTTGGTGAATAAAAAGTACAACGTTGTTCGAGAAAAGGTTTCTAAAATTATATATCAACACAGTGAATGTGAACGTAGTCTAATACTAGTGATACTGTTGTTACTTCTAACATTGACATTTGTCTTGATAATTCCATCCCATTGTGGTAATGTAGTGTGACAACTTGAAACAGCATATGTATTTGCCAGGTCCTAAGGTACTTACTTTGACCTGTCACCCCTTGTGGAACACCGGCTCTGTCCTGGGCTGCCGCCGACCATAAATCTCCAACCTATTCTGTCCTGGTGTCTCCCCTCTTATCGCCTCGACGCACTATTCATTCTGTTGATGTCTGCTTCCAATTCACGGAGCAATGTGTTTTTAGGTCTGCCTCTTTTCCTTTCGCTTCAAAGAATCCAAGTTAGCACTTGCCTCGTGATGCAGTTTGATGATTTCCCCAATGTAATTCCTGTCCGCCCCAATGTCTTTTCTTAATTCCCTCTTTAACTGGGAACTGGTTTGTTCTCTCCCACAGTAGGCTGTTAATGATAGTATCCGGTAAACGGACATTGAGTATCCTGCCTAGACGATTGTTTATAAGTATTTGTACATTTTTGATGACGGTTCTAGTAATTATTGAAGTTTCAGCTCCGTACAATCAAACTGTTTTGGTGTTTGTATTGAAGATTCTGAATTTGATGTTGGCTGACAGTTGGTTTGATTTCCAGTTGTCCCTAGATTGTAGGAATGCTGTCCTTGTTTTGCCAGTCCCCCTGTCTTTACGTCTGCATGAGGTCCTCCTTGTTCATCGATTATACTGCCTAGGTACGTGGAAGTTTTCACCTCTTCCAGAGTTAATCCATTAAGTGTGATTGGAGTGGTATTCTTCGTGTTGTATTTGAGGTTCTTGGTTTTTCCCTTGAGTATGTTGGGATCCACTGATGCAGAGGCTGTTGCTACACTGGTTGTCTTGATCTTCATTTGTTCATGTGTGTGGGATAGGTTTAGGTCATCTGTGAAGTCCGAATTGTCAAGCTTCATGCAAGCTGTTCATTGTATTATGTGCTTCCCCCAGATGTGGAGGTTTTCATAGTCCAGTCACTTATCAGAAGAGAGAAAAGGCATAATCGAAGCTCATTGATTTCTACACATACAAACCTCGCATTACTCTTAACAGGCTAGCGTAGATAGCTTCCATGTAAAAAAATTGGGTTTGAGGATTAGACTCAAAGTGTGCACTGAAGACACTGATATGAAGTTTCTTGGCTGGTTGGTACTTGTAACTAGAACAGAGCGAACTTTCATTATTTATCTGTTTCTCTTATTTCCGCCAACCAGCTTTTCGAACGGCCACCAATAATCAATGTATTTCTAAACTAAATAACTTTCTCAGTAAAATAATCCTACAAATAAGATTGTGTCAATTAGGGTTGAACAATGTCTATATATGGGTTGTATTCTACCATAATTGACATTGAAAATTAAAAACAATAGAAATATGCTAATAGACAGATAACATTCAAATCAGTAATGAATATACTAAATCCATGTCTTGGATTCTAAGGTCAATAAGCAACAATGCAAGCATGTTCACGATGCGATTCTCCCCCCTCGAAATGCAAAATGTTGCTTCAGGGTTGGGTTGCATCGACACCCGAACTAATGATAGAGAGTGAAGTAGTTGAGTGTGTCGACCGCTTCACTTATCTTGGAAGTCTCATCAGCCCTTGTGGTCTGGTGTGTGACGAAATCTCAGCATGGATACAGAAGGCTCGACTAGCTTTTACCAACTCGCATCATTTATAGCGTAGGCGAGATATCTGTTTACGAACCCAAGGACGGGTTTACTGCGCATCAGTTCGTTCCATCCTACTTTACGGCAGTGAAACATGGCCGTTAAGAGTAGAGGATATTCGTAGGTTACTGGTATTCGATCATAGGTGTGTTCGAAACATTGGTCGTATATCCTGGGAGCACCGAGTGAGCAATGCAGTTGTTAGGAAACGTGTACTGGGTAAGGATGATAAATCAATAGATGAAGTAGTGAAAATTGATCAGTTGAGATGTGTGGGACACGTGTTACGTGTGGCCAACCACCGACTGCCCCGACATGTGATGTTTTATGGTGTATGAGTAGGTTGTAAGAAAGCTGGGGGCGACCAAACCAATACATGACACAAATCCATGAAGTCCCTGGGAAGTGGATTGAGCCATGTTAAAAGATGTAGACTACCTTGTTGGAATCCGCAAGATGATAGCAACCGATGGTTAGAGATCTTGAATGACATGGCTCAAAATCGTTTGGAATTGTGCAGGTGCATCCACTCTTTGTGTTCTCTCAAATTTGAATCTTCTGAGTTCTTCATGTCCCTTTTTTCTCTTTCCAAATTTATTTCACTGGATTATACTTCTTGAATAACATCATCAAACCCTTATGTTTCCGACAA